GTCAGACTAGTGTCATATAAGAAATTCACTAGGGAACTTGCCAAAGGGAAAGGGAAGAACACACAGAAGCAACAGAACAATTCAGTTTGAGATTTTATTGAAGGACACCACGACAAGAATAGTGTATCATCCTAGACATCTGTCTCCACACAGGGAAATCTCGTGAATAACTGTACCAAAATATGAAACATAGAGAGAAACAGATATTGTCAAGCAAAGCATAACAATAAAAATAGTAATAAGTATATTATTAATAATAATAATAGGAGTTGTTGCTGGCACCTTTTGGCCTGTCTAGAAAATTGTGAATGTGACCATCAAGACCTGCTTACATGAAGAAATACCATGCACAATTATTGCCAGGGATTTCAGGATAGTTTTTGCCATTGCGTGTATTTAATGTGTATGACAAACAGGCAGTAATTCGCCTAATTAAAGAATCCCTTTAGTAAAAAAAACAATTACAGGTTAGCCTCATTGTACTTCAGTTATTCTACTACAGGCTCTGCATAGTGTGGTCAAGAACTTCCATGGCAAATTTTAGGCCAGTTAGACATTCATTGTTAAAGCTGTCATTTTAAGAAGAGAAGATCGCTTCTCTCTGTGAAATAACAACTTGGACATTCATTGTTAAAGCTGTCATTTTAATAAGAGAAGATCACTTCTCTCTGTGAAATAACAACTTAGACATTCATTGTTAAAGCTGTCATTTTAAGAAGAGAAGATCGCTTCTCTCTGTGAAATAACAACTTAGTCATTCATTGTTAAAGCTGTCATTTTAAGAAGAGAAGATTGCTTTTCTCTGTGAAATAACAGCTTGGACATTCATTGTTAAAGCTGTCATATTGAAAAGAGAAGATCGCTTCTCTCTGTGAAATAACTTAGACATTCATTGTTAAAGCTGTCATATTGAGAAGAGAATATTGCTTTTCTCTGTGAAATAACAACAGTGTACTCCAAGGTGTTCAGATAATGTTTTAACTGATAATTAACCGTCATTGAAATATTCTACAGCATTGTAAACTGCCTTGGCCACTGTTTGGATTTGAACAAGATATTTTCATTGATGCAATGACTACACCTTAACTATCATGTGCCCCGTGTGGGTTCCGGGGCCCCATCGTGGGGCAAACAGACCCACTGCCTCCCCAAAAGCATTTCGTAAGAGTCGACTAATTGGGGGGCTTCCTTTGAAGTCGGAGTGCATCTGCCGGGAGGCAAGGAACCAACAGTCTGTATTCAAGAGAATGAGATCTGTAAAACTGATGCACATGCAACACTCAGGTTCTGGAGCAGGACTGCAGTTCAGTAGTGGACGAGCAACCAGAACCTTCCGCCAGATTGTACAGCTGGTGAACGTGAAGAAGAAGAAGAACTATCATGTGAAAATCTGCTTTGTACATTTTCATTTAGTTGAATGTTGAATTAGGAACCGACATCACAACATTATGGACAGTCCCATAAGTGCTCTGTCCTCATCTTCAGCAGCAAGCGAAGAGTTCCAATTTCAGTGGTACCAGTAACTGTCTGACTGTACATCCATCTCACATTTCCCATGAGCCTTGAGTGTCGGCCAGATCCCCTGGTAACTCCCTGCAGCGTCATTCTCCTCAGATTAAGTTGTGCACAGAAAATCACTGATCATTCTTGTACTTGAATCAATTATAGTTGAGTCATTGACTGAGTTGTGCACAGAAAATCACTGATCATTCTTGTACTTGAATTATTAATAGTTGAGTCATTGACTGAGTTGTGCACAGAAAATCACTGATCATTCTTGTACATGAATTATTAAGGTTGAGTAATTGATTAAGTTGTGCACAGAAAAGTCAGTGATCATTCTTGTACTTTAATCAATAACAGGAGTATTATTTAGTTGTGCACAGAAAATCACTAATTTAATAATTAACAGGAGTATCATTTAGTTGTGCACAGAAAATCACTAATCGTTCTTGTACTTGAATCATTAATAGGTGAATCATTGGGTTGTGCACACACACAAATTTTCATTCTTGTACTTGAATCATTTATAGTTAAGTCATTGATTGAGTTGTGCACAGAAAATCACTGATCATTCTTGTAAATTAATCATTAATAGGCGAATCATTGATTTGTGCACAGAAAATCCCTGGTCATTTTTGTACATTAATCATTAATAGGCAAATCATTGAGTTGAGCACAGAAAATCACTGATCATTCTTGTACTTGAATCATTGATACATTTCATACACTCTCTCAGCTGTAGACAGATCATTGATTGAGTTGTGCACATGAAATTTCTGATCATTCTTGTATTTGTATTGTCTGTCAGGAGGTGCTGGCTATCCTCCACACCTACTTAAATCATTTATCAGAGCTGGCTGGGGCAATGATCAACTGTGGTTCAGTTCTCAGTTGGATGGAGGTAAGTACATTCTGTCATTCTAATTTATCTGAAATTTTTTTTATTCACCCTCATTTTCTACCCTTGGGGTGGGGACACCCCCAGGAATTATGAGTAGTTTGATCAGATTCATTATATATGTTGGATTCATTATATATGTTGGATTCATTATATATGTTGGATTCATTATATATGTTGGATTCATTATATATGTTGACCATCTCTGACTGGATACAAAATATCAATGGGATCCTGTATGGCTGGATTTAGTAATGTAGATGGGATCCTATGTGGTTAGATACAGTAATGTATATGGGATCCTATGTGGCTAAATACAGTAATGTAGATTGGGTCTTGTGTGGCTGGATACAGTAATGTAGATGGGATCTTAGATAGAATAAGCAATGTAGATTTAGGCCTGTGTGGTTGGATACCATAGTGTAGATGGGGGTCCTGAGTGGTTCTATTCATTAATGTAGATGGGGGTCCTGAGTGGTTCTATTCATTAATGTAGATGGGAGTCTTGAGTGGTTCTATTCATTAATTTAGATGGGGGTCCTGAGTGGTTCTATTCATTAATGTAGATGGGGGTCCTGAGTGGTTCTATTCATTAATGTAGATGGGGGTCCTGAGTGGTTCTATTCATTAATGTAGATGGGGTCCTGAGTGGTTCTATTCATTAATGTAGATGGGGGTCCTGAGTGGTTCTATTCATTAATGTAGATGGAGTCCTGAGTGGTTCTATTCATTAATGTAGATGGGGTCCTGAGTGGTTCTATTCATTAATGTAGATGGGGGTCCTGAGTGGTTCTATTCATTAATGTAGATGGGGTCCTGAGTGGTTCTATTCATTAATGTAGATGGGGGTCCTGAGTGGTTCTATTCATTAATGTAGATGGGGGTCCTGAGTGGTTCTATTCATTAATGTAGATGGGGGTCCTGAGTGGTTCTATTCATTAATGTAGATGGGGTCCTGAGTGGTTCTATTCATTAATGTAGATGGGGTCCTGAGTGGTTCTATTCATTAATGTAGATGGGGGTTCTGAGTGGTTCTATTCATTAATGTAGATGGGGTCCTGTATAGCTAAATACAGTAATATAGATGGGGTCCTGAATGGATGGATACAGCAAAGTAGATAGAACTGTTGATCGATGAATACAGTGATGTAGATGGAATCGTGCATTGTTGGAGACTTAGATACAGTAATGTAGATTTGAATTCTATATGTATGAATACAGTAATGAAAGTAGGATCTGGAATGGTTGGATACAGTAATGTAGAAGGGATCCTGGATGGATGAATACAGTAATGTAGGCAGGATCCTGGATGGATGAATACAGTAATGTAGGCAGGATCCTGGATGGATGAATACAGTAATGTAGGCAGGATCCTGGATGGATGAATACAGTAATGTAGGCAGGATCCTGGATGGAAGAATACAGTAATGTAGGCAGGACCCTGGATGGAAGAATACAGTAATGTAGGCAGGATCCTGGATGGATAGATACAGTAATGTAGGCAGGATCCTGGATGGATAGATACAGTAATGTAGGCAGGATCCTGGATGGATAGATACAGTAATGTAGGCAGGATCCTGGATGGAAGAATACAGTAATAGAAATGTTATCCTAAATAGTTAGATACAGTAATGTAGTCGGGATCTTGCATGGTTAAATACAATAAAGTAGATAGGAATCCTGAATTGTTAGATACAGTAATGTAATAGGATCCTGAAGTGTTGGATACACTAATGTAGATGTTATCCTGAATCATTAGATACAATTATGTAGATGGGACCCTGCTTGGTGGGATACAGTAATGTAGATGGGATCCTAAATGGATGGATACAGTAATGTAGATGGGATCCTAAATGGATGGATACACTAATGTAGATGTTATCCTGAATCATTAGATACAATTATGTAGATGGGACCCTGCTTGGTGGGATACAGTAATGTAGATGGGATCCTGGATGGATGAATACAGTAATGTAGATGGGATCCTAAATGGATGGATACAGTAATGTAGATGGGATCCTGTGTGGTTAGATACAGTAATGTAGAAAGGATCCTGGATTAGTACAGTAATATAGACAAGAGCCTGGATGGATGAATACAGTAATGTAGATGGGATCCTGGATGCATGGATATAGTAATGCAGATGGGATCTTGAATGGATACAGGAAGGTAGGTGGGATCCTGTGTGGTTGGATACAGTAATATAGATGGGATCCTGAATGGATGGATGCAATTATATAAGATAGGTGTTATGATATAGGTGGCAATATCACACCTCCATTCAACCAGCTAGTTCATTGTAAAAAAATAACTTGAGGTATGGTTTACATCTAGCACACATTCTAGTAGTCCAGTTAGCACACATTCTAGTAGTACAGTTAGCACACATTCTAGTAGTACAGTTAGCACACATTCTGATAGTCCAGTTAGCACACATTCTAGTAGTCCAGTTAGCATGCATTCTGATAGTCCAGTTAGCACACATTCTAGTAGTCCAGTTAGCACACATTCTGATAGTCCAGTTAGCACACATTCTAGTAGTACAGTTAGCACACATTCTAGTAGTACAGTTAGCACACATTCTAGTAGTCCAGTTAGCATGCATTCTGATAGTCCAGTTAGCACACATTCTAGTAGTACAGTTAGCACACATTCTAGTAGTCCAGTTAGCACACATTCTGATAGTCCAGTTAGCACACATTCTAGTAGTACAGTTAGCACACATTCTAGTAGTCCAGTTAGCACACATTCTGATAGTCCAGTTAGCACACATTCTAGTAGTACAGTTAGCACACATTCTAGTAGTACAGTTAGCACACATTCTAGTAGTACAGTTAGCACACATTCTGATAGTCCAGTTAGCACACATTCTAGTAGTCCAGTTAGCACACATTCTGATAGTCCAGTTAGCACACATTCTAGTAGTCCAGTTAGCATGCATTCTGATAGTCCAGTTAGCACACATTCTAGTAGTCCAGTTAGCACACATTCTGATAGTCCAGTTAGCACACATTCTAGTAGTCCAGTTAGCACACATTCTGATAGTCCAGTTAGCACACATTCTAGTAGTCCAGTTAGCATGCATTCTGATAGTCCAGTTAGCAGACATTCTAGTAGTCCAGTTAGCAGACATTCTGATAGTCCAGTTAGCACGCATTCTAATAGTCCAGTTAGCACACATTCTGATAGTCCAGTTAGCATGCATTCTGATAGTCCAGTTAGCACACATTCTGATAGTCCAGTTAGCACGCATTCTGATAGTCCAGTTAGCACACATTCTGATAGTCCAGTTAGCACACATTCTGATAGTCCTGTTAGCACACATTCTGATAGTCCAGTTAGCACACATTCTGATAGTCCAGTTAGCACACATTCTAGTAGTCCAGTTAGCACACATTCTTATAATCCAGTTAGCAAGCATTCTGATAGTCCAGTTAGCAGACATTTTAATAGTCCAGTTAGCAGACATTCTAATAGTCCAGTTAGCAGACATTCTAATAGTCCAGTTAGCACGCATTCTGAAAGTCCAGTTAGCACACATTCTAGTAGTCCAGTTAGCACACATTCTAGTAGTCCAGTTAGCACACATTCTAGTAGTCCAGTTAGCACACATTCTAGTAGTCCAGTTAGCACACATTCTAGTAGTCCAGTTAGCACACATTCTAGTAGTCCAGTTAGCACACATTCTGATAGTCCAGTTAGCACGCATTCTGATAGTCCAGTTAGCACACATTCTGATAGTCCAGTTAGCACACATTCTGATAGTCCAGTTAGCATGTATTCTGATAGTCCAGTTAGCACACATTCTGATAGTCCAGTTAGCACGCATTCTGATAGTCCAGTTAGCACACATTCTGATAGTCCAGTTAGCACACATTCTGATAGTCCAGTTAGCACACATTCTGATAGTCCAGTTAGCACACATTCTGATAGTCCAGTTAGCACACATTCTAGTAGTCCAGTTAGCACGCATTCTTATAGTCCAGTTAGCAAGCATTCTGATAGTCCAGTTAGCAGACATTTTAATAGTCCAGTTAGCAGACATTCTAATAGTCCAGTTAGCAGACATTCTAATAGTCCAGTTAGCACGCATTCTGAAAGTCCAGTTAGCACACATTCTGATAGTCCATTAAGTAGACATTCTGAAAGCTCAGTTAGCACGCATTCTAATAGTCCAGTTAGCCCGCATTCTGATAGTCCAGTTAGCAGACATTTTAATAGTCCAGTTAGCAGACATTCTAATAGTCCAGTAAGCACACATTCTAATAGTCCATTTAGCACACATTCTAGTAGTCCATTAAGTAGACATTCTGAAAGCTCAGTTAGCACGCATTCTTATAGTCCAGTAAGCACACATTCTAATAGTCCAGTAAGCACACATTCTGATAGTCCAGTTAGTACACATTCTGATAGCTCAGTTGGCACATATTATGATAGCTCAGTTACCACACATTTTAAAAGCCTAATTAGCACACATTCTAATAGCCCAGTCACCATACAAACTAGGATAGAAAGTGCCCTATGTGAACATGCATATTTAGACAAAAACAAAGATAGTAGACACCTTTTGTGGACACGCACATTTAGACAAGAACAGACTAGAATAGAATGTTCCCTTTATGAACATGGACATTTGGACCAGAAAAGATTGAGATAGATGGTGCTTGTGTGAACGTGGACATTTGGACCAGAAAAGATTGAGATAGATGGTGCTTGTGTGAACGTGGACATTTGGACCAGAAAAGATTGAGATAGATGGTGCTTGTGTGAACGTGGACATTTGGACCAGAAAAGATTGAGATAGATGGTGCTTGTGTGAACGTGGACATTTGGACCAGAAAAGATTGAGATAGATGGTGCTTGTGTGAATGTGGACATTTGGACCAGAAAAGATTCAGATAGATGGTGCTTGTGTGAATGTGGACATTTGGACCAGAAAAGATTCAGATAGATGGTGCTTGTGTGAACGTGGACATTTGGATCAGAAAAGATTCAGATAGATGGTGCTTGTGTGAATGTGGACATTTGGACCAGAAAAGATTCAGATAGATGGTGCTTGTGTGAACGTGGACATTTGGATCAGAAAAGATTCAGATAGATGGTGCTTGTGTGAATGTGGACATTTAGACAAGAATAAACAAATTTAGAATATGTTTGATGTTATACTTGCCATTATTATTGTTGTCTTTGTGGTCTTTCTAGTATCATGTTGACCCATATTCACTTAACACTTGGGTATTGATTGCCTAGATGGATAATCGAGGCCACAGACTATTGGCAACAGATGATTCTGGAATCAACACGCCAGCTATTGCAGCAGCACATGTCATCAAAAGATACAATGCGCAAGCTGCTGATGAGATTACACTACAGGTACCATACTGTCATTTATATAGAAAAGGATCTAGAAAAGTAAATTAGCAAGCTTCACAATATAACAAATACAATACGTGAACGTTACGGCTATGGAGCCTTCATCAGCACATACAAATCAAACAATACTACACACAATCACTTAGCTGGTATCTCGAAGCAGCTGGGTCGATGGTTTCCTCAGCAGAATGCCTACACGTTTTGGCTGGGGGAATAAATACCCCCTGTGGAGTAGCAGGGGCCATAACTAGGGGGCTAGAGATAAAACTGTGAGGGCAGTTTAATCCCCTAAGAGTTTAAATGAAACTGTGTTGGCAATTCAGTCCGGAAGGTGTTAAAGTCCCCAGAGTGTAAAAAAAAGCGATTATGTCATTTGTATAGTCCGCTCCAAAAGTCATGCCCAAATGTAAAGATCTGTAACTCAGTAACCGTTCTGTTTCTGTTTAATTTTGTTGAAATTTGGCATGCAACCTGTTAAAATCATATCCTTGTTGAAAACAGTGATATTGTCAACAGCCTCTAGTTTTTATTTTGCCTTATTTGCAGTAAATGAACAAAATAGACACTGAGTTCAGTTAATAAAGTGATGCAGTACAGTGACCTTGTGTTCAGTTAATGGAGTGATGCAAACTTTGCAAAACATAAAATTGCAAGGCACCCTTTCAATAGTGAATTGGACACATCATGTACTGTCTTAATCTTTTTTTTACATCATTGTAACTCAGTTCCCCGGTGTTTCACGCTAAGAGTGGTCAGTCTTTTGTGAGTTAGATAAACACATGATTTCATTAGATGTGGGATAGTCTATTAAAGTAATCTGCTTGCATCACTGAACACGGGAAATGATTTCCAAAACAATCAAATCACATCATCAATTTTTGGGAAAAGTTCATTTTTACACACAATATTATGTCTTCTGTCAGATTCAGTACTTGTTTTTTGTTTAAAAAATAGATTGAGTGTTCATATTTTACTGAACTTACCAGTGTTGTACTTATTGATTTATTGAAAATTTTTATGAAATTGATATTTTTTAAACCTAAGCAACAGTACTTGCCCAAAGAGATAACTGTATGTATCATATACTTTTGCAATCATTATTATCTCCTCTGTATTTTTCTCAAAGTTGTGGAAGTGACTTTTCTTGTGGGGAAAAATCAGAGCCAGTTTAAAAGAGATACATGAGCTGATAGCAGACAACAAAGAAATGATCTCGGCCAAGCAGCACATGGCGTCCAGCAGCAGGGAAACTAGTACGATATTTACAGCAGAGGGTGCCAGTAAGAAGACAGCAGAGAAAGAGGCCACCTCACCCGAGGGGGCAGGCAGGATGCACACAATGAAGAGGAGCATCCAGTAGAGGTCAACACTTTCCCAGCAGCAATCAAGCTCACTCAAACCATGAAGGACAGGCTAAAATGATAACCCTGTCAGCCATGATGATCATCAACATGATTGAAGTGCTGCTGGGGAAACGATGCGTCACACAGTACCGCAAGATAAGGACGGCATGGTGGTGACCCTCAGCAGAAATGAGAAAACGAGCAGACTACTAAATGACATCTGGCAAAAAAGAAACCAGAACTCCAGCTACTGCATGAGGTGACTGTGGAGGCGAGCATGTTTCAGCAGCTGAGATGTTGGGTGGTGAAGCAGATAAACACAGAGATCAGCAATGACCAGATCAAACAACAGCTAGAGAAGGAAAATCCAGTCCTGATGATCAAAAGGGCAGGATCAGCAAAAGCTACAACAGTGATAGAAGTCACATCAGAAGGCAATGATGTTCCAAGCTCTGTGTCCTATGGGAAAAAGATGTTGAAGAGAGAGCACTACATCCCAAATGTACATCAGTGCTCTTTTTTGTCCACACCATAAGCAGTTGCCACAGCAAGTTGGAAATTCACAGATATTGCGCCGGTGCCCAGACCTACAATGAATGCAGCCTAGCAAAGAGAGACAAGAATTTAAGTAAGCTGAACCTAGCAGAGCAAGGTACCTCAGTTGCTCATACATCTGGGAATTCAAAAAGACAATCAAATGGCGACAGTCGACCATTTCCCTTGTAAATGTAGCAAGAAGGAAAAGTGAGGCAGTCCGAGGTCTGTCAGCTGTCGAAAGAAAACTCCAAACAGAGATCAAGGAACTGAAGAAACAGCTACGCAATACACAACCCATCCAGAAAGCAAACATGGGAGATAAGGACACAGAAGTTGAACCCAGGGAGATGCAGCACAGGCTACTGAACACAGAGATAGTAAAAAAGGTAAAGGGTCTCAGAAACAGAAGCAGCAGCACATGTCGCAGGCTACAGAGACGGTAAAAGCAGTGGAAAAAGCCACTGCTGCTGACGATGTGGACAAGAAGATTGCAGAACTGAAAGAGCTGCAGGCTTTGATCAGAGAAGCACAGAAAAACTTGAAAGAATTCAAAAAGTGCAACGCCACGATGAAGAAAATTGAAGACGAGCAATAAACCTTAGATGAAAAATGATAAAAAATCCAGAGCGCACTGGATACATCATACCAAGCCAGTGACTGAGAAATAGAGGTGAAAGAAGCCTAAGCAGACCTAAGACACCTACCTCAAGCTACAGCAGTCCCAATGAAAGCAGACCTAAGACACCTACAGCATGCTATAGCAGTCCCAATGAAAGCAGACCTAAGACACCTACAGCATGCTACAGCAGTCCCAATGAAAGCAGACCTAAGACACCTACAGCATGCTACAGCAGTCCCAATGAAAGCAGACCTAAGACACCTACAGCATGCTATAGCAGTCTCAATGAAAGCAGACCTAAGACACCTACAGCATGCTACAGCAGTCTCAATGAAAGCAGACCTAAGACACCTACAGCATGCTATAGCAGTCCCAATGAAAGCAGACCTAAGACACCTACCTCAAGCTACAGCAGTCCCAATGAAAGCAGACCTAAGACACCTACAGCATGCTATAGCAGTCCCAATGAAAGCAGACCTAAGACACCTACCTCAAGCTACAGCAGTCCCAATGAAAGCAGACCTAAGACACCTACAGCATGCTATAGCAGTCTCAATGAAAGCAGACCTAAGACACCTACAGCATGCTACAGCAGTCTCAATGAAAGCAGACCTAAGACACCTACAGCATGCTATAGCAGTCCCAATGAAAGCAGACCTAAGACACCTACCTCAAGCTACAGCAGTCCCAATGAAAGCAGACCTAAGACACCTACAGCATGCTACAGCAGTCCCAATGAAAGCAGACCTAAGACACCTACAGCATGCTACAGCAGTCCCAATGAAAGCAGACCTAAGACACCTACAGCATGCTACAGCAGTCCCAATGAAAGCAGACCTAAGACACCTACAGCATGCTATAGCAGTCCCAATGAAAGCAGACCTAAGACACCTACAGCATGCTATAGCAGTCCCAATGAAAGCAGACCTAAGACACCTACAGCATGCTATAGCAGTCCCAATGAAAGCAGACCTAAGACACCTACAGCATGCTACAGCAGTCCCAATGAAAGCAGACCTAAGACACCTTCTGACAGCAACAGAGCAGGAAACGAGCAAGAAGATAAAATGCAACTGAAGATGCTAGCACAGCCCTTATCAGGGGGGCATCAAAGATAGTAGCACTAGAAGCAGACCAATGAGAGCCGTACTCAGCATAGATAACGCCAGTAGAAAAAGCTGTTGTTATGACATCACCATGTTCATGTGCACCATGATGTCATGTGCTCCACATTCTTAACGACAATATTGACAGGTTACAAGACATGGCATGGTTTTGTCATTTCTCACACTTGTGAGGTTTTCATGTGAAGCTCCTATCTGTAGTCATTTTGTTAGTCGAGATTCCAACTTCACTGCAGATTGGTTGCCCCATAACTACTGCATTTCTCTGTTCTTCACTATCCCATTTGAAAACTAATGGAAAAAATGAAGTTCGCACAGCATAGTAAAGGCATAAGGCAGCTGTCAGATGTGCCAACACCAAAAGTCTGATAACTAGATTGCAGTCCAGAGAAGATGCGAGTAGTTAGTTACGAAAGTTGGCATTGTATATGCAGTTCTATATAAGTACATACCAATCTGAACGTAATTGGCCACCCGTCATTTTCAGTGCAATTTACAACGAAAAGCTGTTGCGGGCACAACAGTAAAAACACCCCACATGAAATGCGCAGCTCACAGTGTTGCATCAAGCACTCAGTTCAGAAGCTTGGTGATGGAACCTTTAGACTCATGGTCCAGAAATGGGAAATTTATGTTAGCAAACTCTGACTAGAAACAAATAACTTTTCAGAACGTCAGCAGAAACAAATAACCCCTCAGAATATCAGCAATCAATCAGCGATATGCCATTTTGAATCGGAAGTTGTGTAATAGTGTGATAAATAAATTATGTTCACTAATTATTGATTAATTAATGATGTTCTGTAAACATGTAATATAATAATGACTAGATTTAATTGTCCGGATAGTGAAAGAAAATTTTATTTTCCTGCCCTTTGCTTCATCTTTGTTTCCACCACTACCGTATGTTTAGTCATTAACCCTAACTGCATCTTAGGCTTTTATGCCCCTGGGCATAACTACTCTTAAATCTGACAAAGGGGGCGGTAGCGCCTACAAATAGAACCCCCCTCCCCCCCCCCCCCCCCCTCTCCGCCCACCTTCTTTTTTTTTACCTAGTTACAGTTTGGACTATTGGCAACTTCTAAATGGTCTAATTCTGCATATCTGAGTTCTGGGACAGATTTGCCTTCATTTGGAAATGGTTCTAAACTGTCACAGGCTTCCTCACTATTTTTCAGCAAATGTTTTGAAAACGGGTCTAACTATACCTTATATTTAATTGTGGGAAATTGCTCAGGTTTAATCTCCTGTCCTTCACTACATCTTTGTCTCCACCACTGTCATGTATTTAATCATTGCCCCTAAGTGCACTGAGAATCTGTCCTTTCCTTTAATCACTACCTGGCAAATCCACTGCCCCTAAGTGCACTGAGAATCTGTCCTTTCCTTTAATCACTACCTGGCAAATCCACTGCCCCTAAGTGCACTGAGAATCTGTCCTTTCCTTTAATCACTACCTGGCAAATCCACTGCCCCCAAGTGCACTGAGAATCTTTCCTTTCCTTTAATCACTACCTGGCAAATCCATTGCCCCTAAGTGCATTGAGAATCTTTCCTTTCCTTTAATCACTACCTGGCAAATCCATTGCCCCTAAGTGCACTGAGAATCTGTCCTTTCCTTTAATCACTACCTGGCAAATCCACTGCCCCTAAAATGTGATCAGCCAAATTAAAACCACCTCAACTGCCCCAGCACCTCCCCTGTGATGGTAGAGCCCACAATTAGAGAAACCAGTACACTATCGCAGCTACCACTTTAATCATAATTAATCATAGTTACCCTGTTATTATTATTTGTGTGTGTGTTGAAAACAGAAACTAAAAAATACAAATTAAAAAAAAAAAATAGAACTTTAAATAAAAACTTGAATCCCTGACCTTTTGTAAATTAGGCAGACAGAATAACTACTACACTATGGAATCACAAGACTGACTATAAATAGTAACACCAGTAATTAACAGTCCGGTAAATGGACACATGGATTGTCTGTCATATAGGTGCAACATTCTGGTTGTTTGTTCACCTGTAGACTTTGGTTTTGTTCCGGAACTTGAACTTTGCATGGACATCTGTTTAACAGATCTGTCTGTTTTGTATGCAGACATTTGGTTTCTTGCCTCTGATATAACAGAAAATGGAAGACTTTAAGTTGGAAGGGATGTAACAGTGAAATATAAGTTTTGTCAAACTAATTTTTTCAAGGGATGTAAGATACTCGTTGTAGATACTTATTTGCTCTAAACTCCAGCGAATGTTAATTTTTAGTGATTAAGGCATTAATTAAAAGAAATGCATAAAATCATCACCACAAATAGCACTGTTAACCTTGACATAGCCAGTACGGCATCTGCAAATTTGAACTCTTTTGCTGGTCAGTGTTTGGGCAGACTTATTGGTTGACAGACACTTGGATTTTCTGTTCTTTGGTATAGATGTCATTAGTTGATGGTGTTCTGCACTGATGTATTTGATCAGTTTATGCTGTGTATGGTTATGTTACATCATCATTAATAATGTAAAATTATCTTTCCAATTTCCCTGTGTTGGTTCTTGATCCCTGTGTTGGTTCTTGATCCCTGTGTTGGTTCTTGATCCCTGTGTTGGTTCTTGATCCCTGTGTTGGTTCTTGATCCCTGTGTTGGTTCTTGATCCCTGTGTTGGTTCTTGATCCCTGTGTTGGTTCTTGATCCCTGTGTTGGTTCTTGATCCCTGTGTTGGTTCTTGATCCCTGTTGTTGGTTCTTGATCCCTGTGTTGGTTCTTGATCCCTGTGTTGGTTCTTGATCCCTGTGTTGGTTCTTGATCCCTGTGTTGGTTCTTGATCCCTGTGTTGGTTCTTGATCCCTGTGTTGGTTCTTGATCCCTGTTGTTGGTTCTTGATCCCTGTGTTGGTTCTTGATCCCTGTGTTGGTTCTTGATCCCTGTGTTGGTTCTTGATCCCTGTTGTTGGTTCTTGATCCCTGTGTTGGTTCTTGATCCCTGTGTTGGTTCTTGATCCCTGTGTTGGTTCTTGATCCCTGTTGTTGGTTCTTGATCCCTGTTGTTGGTTCTTGATCCCTGTGTTGGTTCTTGATCCCTGTGTTGGTTCTTGATCCCTGTTGTTGGGAAAACAAGAATAGACCCACTGGCTCCCCAACAAGCATGTCATAATTGGGTGTTTCCTTCAAAGTTGCAGTGCACCTGCCTGAGAGGCAAGGAACCAACAGTCTGCATACAGGTAAGTCTGGTCTATAAAACTGATGTGCACGCAACACTCAAGTTCTGGATCAAGTCTACAGTTCAGAGGTGGATGAACAACCAGAACTTTCCACAGGGGTTTGCAGCTGGTGAACAGGAAGAAGTAGTTTCCAATGAAATATTTATGTTGAAGAATGTTTACAATGAAATATTTATGTTGAAGAATGTTTACAATTTTAATGTGTGAATATTATGAATGATGATGCTGTATAATCATATGTTTTGATTAGTGATGTTGTAAAATGGTATATTTATATAATTATGTTTTATAATAATGTCTGTGACTGATGTTGAATAATAGTCAGTTTGATACATTTCATTGAAGGTTGGAGACATGATCTCTGTAATAGACATGCCATCAGCTGAAGACACCATCTGGTGGAGAGGAAAGAGGGGCTTTGAGGTGAACTGACTCTTTTTCTCATGATAATTGTCTGTCCATCCTCTGTGTATGGCACAGTGATAGATATCTGAATGTACGTGTAGAGCTCATAAACATTTGCTGACAAATAAAGCACACACAGTTTGCTGACTTGTAGAACACATCACATTTTTTTTAACGTGTAGAACACATAAATGTAGAACATTTCACATATGTTGACGTGTATAATACATAAACATCTGCAGATGTTTAGAGAACATCACATTTGCTGATGTGTAAGTAAAGTAAAGGTCCCTTTTCCAAACCTTTAGGCGTATACGGCATATAGGGCTAGACCTAAATTTGTATAGGCCAATCGATACAAGATGGGTAATGTGGTCAGCATCACACTGGCTGCCTTTACATCCCATGACTGCACCTGGTACCCACTTAAGGCTGGGTCAACCTGGGAGTCAAGGCCATTTTTGAAAAAAGTCCAGCTCCGTCATGGAGCGAACCTGCGACCTTCCGATCCGCACGCGAGTGTCTAGCTGCTACGCCACAGCAACTCCCTTTGCTGATATGTAGTACACATAAACATTTGCTAACGTATAAAGCATATAAACATTTGCTGACAAGTAGTACACACAAACATTTTCTGAAGTATAGTACACACAAACGTTTGCTGACAAGTAGTACACACAAACATTTCCTGAAGTATAGTAAACACAAACATTTGCTGATGTATAGTACGCACAAACATTTCCTGAAGTATAGTACACACAAACATTTCCTGAAGTATAGTACACACAAACATTTCCTGAAGTATTACACACAAACATTTCCTGAAGTATGGTACACACAAGCATTTGCTGAAGTATAGTACACACAAACATTTCCTGAAGTATAGTACACACAAACATTTCCTGAAGTATAGTACACAAACATTTCCTGAAGTATAGTACATATAAACATTTGCTAACGTATAAAACATAAACATTTGCTGACAAGTAGTACACACAAACATTTGCTGATGTGTAGAGTATATTTAGATTAGTGTTTCATTTCTTGTAGCATAATTCTAGACTGATTTTAAGCAGTATAGCCGAAACGTTTATTGGCCTTTTGTTTTTCAAATCAAATGTATGTGTATGAGGGTTTAAATGTGCAATATAGGCTGTGTGCATGTGAGGGTTTAAATGTGCCATATAGGCTGTGTGCTGCTGTGTGCATGTGAGGGTTTAAATGTACAATATAGGCTGTGTACTGCTATGTGCATGTGAGGGTTTAAATGTACAATATAGGCTGTGTACTGCTATGTGCATATGAGGGTTTAAATGTGCCATATAGGCTGTGTGCTGCTGTGTGCATATGAGGGTTTAAATGTGCAATATAGGCTGTGTGCATGTGAGGGTTTAAATATGCCATATAGGCTGTGTGCTGCTGTATGCATGTGGGGGTTTAAATGTGCCATATAGGCTGTGTGCTTCTGTATGCATGTGAGGGTTTAAATGTGCCATATAGGCTGTGTGCTGCTGTGTGCATGTGAGGATTTGAATGTGCCATATAGGCTGTGTGCTGCTATGTGCATGTGAGGGTTTAAATGTGCCATATAGGCTGTGTGCTGCTATGTGCATGTGAGGGTTTAAATGTGCCATATATGCTTTGTGCTGCTGTGTGCATGTGAGGGTTTAAATGTTCCATATAGGCTGTGTGCTGCTGTATGCATGTGAGGGTTATGTGCAGCTGCTGTGCTGCATGTGAGGGTTTAAATGTGCCATATAGGCTGTGTGCTGCTGTATGCATGTGAGGGTTTAAATGTGCCATATATGCTGTGTGCTGCTAGGCTGTGAGGGTTTAGCTGTGCCATATATGCTGCTGCTGTGTGGGGGTTTAAATGTGCCATATATGTGTGCTGTGCATGTGAGGGTTTAAATGTGCCATATATGCTTTGTGCTGCTGTATGTGAGGGTTTAAATGTGCCATATAGGCTGTGTGCTGCTGTGTGCATGTGAGGGTTTAAATGTGCCATATAGGCTGTGCATGCTGCTGTATGCATGTGCCATATAGGGTGTTAAATGTGCCATATAGGCTGTGTGCTGCTGTGTGCATGTGAGGGTTTAAATGTGCCATATAGGCTGTGTGCTGCTATGCAAGTGAGGGTTTAAATGCATGTGGGGGTTTCTGTATGCAAGTGAGGGTTTTTAAATATAGGCTGTGTGCTGCTGTATGCATGTGGGGGTTTAAATGTGCCATATAGGCTGTGTGCTTCTGTATGCATGTGAGGTTTAAATGTGCCATGGCTGTATGCATGTGGGGGTTTTAAATGTGCCATATAGGCTGTGTGCTGCTGTGTGCATGTGTGTGCTGGGTATGCATTAAAATGTGCCATATAGGCTGTGTGCTGCTGTATGCATGTGAGGGTTTAAATGTGCCATATAGGCTGTGTGCTGCTGTATGCATGTGGGGGTTTAAATGTGCCATATAGGCTGTGTGCTGCTATGTGCATGTGGGGGTTTAAATGTGCCATATAGGCTGTGTGCTGCTGTATGCATGTGAGGGTTTAAATGTGCCATATAGGCTGTGTGCTGCTGTATGCATGTGAGGGTTTAAATGTGCCATATAGGATGTGTGCTTCTGTATGCATGTGAGGGTTTAAATGTGCCATATAGGCTGTGTGCCTCTGTATGCATGTGAGGGTTTAAATGTGCCATATAGGCTGTGTGCTGCTGTGTGCATGTGAGGGTTTAAATGTTCCATATAGGCTGTGTGCTGCTGTGTGCATGTGGGGGTTTAAATGTGCCATATAGGCTGTGTGCTTCTGTATGCATGTGAGGGTTTAAATGTGCCATATAGGCTGTGTGCTGCTGTATGCATGTGAGGGTTTAAATGTGCCATATAGGCTGTGTGCTTCTGTATGCATGTGAGGGTTTAAATGTGCCATATGGGCTGTGTGCTGCTGTATGCATGTGAGGGTTTAAATGTGCCATATAGGCTGTGTGCTGCTATGTGCATGTGGGGGTTTAAATGTGCCATATAGGCTGTGTGCTGCTGTATGCATGTGAGGGTTTAAATGTGCCATATAGGCTGTGTGCTGCTGTATGCATGTGAGGGTTTAAATGTGCCATATAGGATGTGTGCTTCTGTATGCATGTGAGGGTTTAAATGTGCCATATAGGATGTGTGCTGCTGTATGCATGTGAGGGTTTAAATGTGCCATATAGGCTGTGTGCTGCTGTGTGCATGTGAGGGTTTTAATGTTCCATATAGGCTGTGTGCTGCTGTGTGCATGTGGGGGTTTAAATGTGCCATATAGGCTGTGTGCTTCTGTATGCATGTGAGGGTTTAAATGTGCCATATAGGCTGTGTGCTGCTGTATGCATGTGAGGGTTTAAATGTGCCATATAGGCTGTGTGCTTCTGTATGCATGTGAGGGTTTAAATGTGCCATATAGGATGTGTGCTGCTGTATGCATGTGAGGGTTTAAATGTGCTATAGGCTGTGTGCTGCTGTGTGCATGTGAGGGTTTAAATGTTCCATATAGGCTGTGTGCTGCTGTGTGCATGTGGGGGTTTAAATGTGCCATATAGGCTGTGTGCTTCTGTATGCATGTGAGGGTTTAAATGTGCCATATAGGCTGTGTGCTGCTGTATGCATGTGAGGGTTTAAATGTGCCATATAGGCTGTGTGCTGCTGTATGCATGTGAGGGTTTAAATGTGCCATATAGGCTGTGTGCTGCTGTATGCATGTGAGGGTTTAAATGTGCCATATAGGCTGTGTGCTGCTGTATGCATGTGATAATGTCAGTGGAAAAGGGCTGTCAAAGAAGAATATCAAGAATGCCAAGGATTGATACTCACATGAATCAGGGAGTCCTTCAAGATGGAAAATATTCACTGCTCAGGAAAATGAGACCCAGTCAAATATTTGTATCTATATTGCTTAAAGAAGCCAGCTGGACGACTTTTTGACAACCGACAAACTTTGTGGGGAAAGGATTAGGCAACAGATAAATGCCATATTGAAGACAAGGGGACAGACAAGGCTGCAGACTGTTTGCCTGTTGGCATGTCAGTATTCTGTTTGTCAACAAGTGTTTCTTGCTGTTTATGCTGTATTGGGTAATTTCTGCTCAGAATTTTTCTAATTTGTGTTTGCCATCCTCAGGTGGGATTTTTTCCTGCTGAATGTGTGGAGATTATTGGAGACAAAATTCCAACCTCCATGGCAACTCTGATCCCAGAGCCGGTTGCCACAGCTTCGGCTTCACGCAGACCTTGTGAGATTTTAGAGGAGCTATCAGCCACCATTACTGCAACACCATCATCATCTTCAACACCATCGCCCTCATCATCCCGACATTCTGCTTCAACAACTTCTTCTTTAGCTGGACATTTGTCACTGTCCTCTTCCAGTGCTCAGTCTTCCCCAGCCAGTCAGTGGTGTTTTCTATATGTTTGTTTGTTTGTCTGCTAGCATGCTGTCTTCATTTTCTTCTTCACATCCTGCACATTTAACAGTTATCCCTTGTTTTTTCCCCCAAGTTTACTTTGATATTTGATAAGCAAACATGTGCAAGAGGTTTTAGTGACGATCACTTTTTCTGTGAAGGTTTAGTGACTATAATATTTCTCTTAGGTTTTAGTGGCAGTCATTGAGGTTTTAGTCGCAGTCAATGAGGTTTTAGGGGCATTAATATTTCTTTTAGGTTTTAGTGGCAGTCATTGAGGTTTTAGTTGCAGTCAGTGAGGTTTTAGTGGCAGTCATTGAAGTTTTAGTTGCAGTCAGTGAGGTTTGAGTGGCAGTCATTGAGGTTTTAGTGGCAGTCATTGAGGTTTTAGTGGCATTCATTGAGGTTTTAGTTGCAGTCAGTGAGGTTTTAGTGGCAGTCATTGAGGTTTTAGTTGCAGTCACTGAGGTTTTAGTGGCAGTCATTGAGGTTTTAGTGGCAGTCATTGAGGTTTTAGTGGCAGTCATTGAGGTTTTAGTTGCAGTCATTGAGGTTTTAGTGGCAGTCATTGAGGTTTTAGTCGCAGTCAATGAGGTTTTAGGGGCATTAATATTTCTTTTAGGTTTTAGTGGCAGTCATTGAGGTTTTAGTTGCAGTCAGTGAGGTTTTAGTGGCAGTCATTGAGGTTTTAGTTGCAGTCATTGAGGTTTTAGTGGCAGTCATTGAGGTTTTAGTGGCAGTCATTGAGGTTTTAGTTGCAGTCATTGAGGTTTTAGTGGCAGTCATTGAGGTTTTAGTCGCAGTCAATGAGGTTTTAGGAGCATTAATATTTCTTTTAGGTTTTAGTGGCAGTCATTGAGGTTTTAGTGGCAGTCATTGAGGTTTTAGTTGCAGTCAGTGAGGTTTTAGTGGCAGTAATTGAGGTTTTAGTGGCAGTCATTGAGGTTTTAGTGGCATTCATTGAGGTTTTAGTTGCAGTCAGTGAGGTTTTAGTGGCAGTCATTGAGGTTTTAGTGGCAGTCATTGAGGTTTTAGTTGCAGTCAGTGAGGTTTTAGTGGCAGTCATTGAGGTTTTAGTGGCAGTCATTGAGGTTTTAGTGGCAGTCATTGAGGTTTTAGTTGCAGTCAATGAGGTTTTAGGGGCATTAATATTTCTTTTAGGTTTTAGTGGCAGTCATTGAGGTTTTAGTTGCAGTCAGTGAGGTTTTAGTGGCAGTCATTGAGGTTTTAGTTGCAGTCATTGAGGTTTTAGTGGCAGTCATTGAGGTTTTAGTGGCAGTCATTGAGGTTTTAGTTGCAGTCATTGAGGTTTTAGTGGCAGTCATTGAGGTTTTAGTCGCAGTCAATGAGGTTTTAGGAGCATTAATATTTCTTTTAGGTTTTAGTGGCAGTCATTGAGGTTTTAGTGGCAGTCATTGAGGTTTTAGTTGCAGTCAGTGAGGTTTTAGTGGCAGTAATTGAGGTTTTAGTGGCAGTCATTGAGGTTTTAGTGGCATTCATTGAGGTTTTAGTTGCAGTCAGTGAGGTTTTAGTGGCAGTCATTGAGGTTTTAGTGGCAGTCATTGAGGTTTTAGTTGCAGTCACTGAGGTTTTAGTGGCAGTCATTGAGGTTTTAGTGGCAAACGTCTCTCTGTGAAGGGGGTTTTGGTGGCAGTCGCCTCTCTGTGAAGGGGGTTTTGGTGGTAGTCAATGAGGTTTTAGAGGCTAGCTACATGACATGACAGATACCAGCTGCATGATGTCACAGATACTAGCTACATGACATGACAGATACCAGCTGCATGATGTCACAGATACTAGCTACATGACATGACAGATACCAGCTGCATGATGTCACAGATACTAGCTACATGACATGACAGATACCAGCTGCATGATGTCACAGATACTAGCTACATGACATGACAGATACCAGCTGCATGATGTCACAGATACTAGCTACATGACATGACAGATACCAGCTGCATGATGTCACAGATACTAGCTACATGACATGACAGATACCAGCTGCATGATGTCACAGATACTAGCTACATGACATGACAGATACCAGCTGCATGATGTCACAGATACTAGCTACATGACATGACATGACAGATACCAGCTGCATGATGTCACAGATACTAGCTACATGACATGACAGATACCAGCTGCATGATGTCACAGATACTAGCTACATGACATGACAGATATCAGCTGCATGATGTCACAGATACTAGCTACATGACATGACAGATACCAGCTGCATGATGTCACAGATACTAGCTACATGACATGACAGATACCAGCTGCATGATGTCACAGATACTAGCTACATGCCATGACAGATACCAGCTGCATGACATGACAGATACCAGATGCATGACGTGAGAGATACCAGCTACATGACATGACAGATACCAGGTGCATGACGTGAGAGATACCAGCTACATGACATGACAGATACCAGGTGCATGACATGACAGATACCAGCTACATGACATGACAGATACCAGCTGCATGATGTCACAGATACTAGCTACATGACATGACAGATACCAGCTGCATGACATGACAGATACCAGATGCATGACGTGAGAGATACCAGCTACATGACATGACAGATACCAGGTGCATGACGTGAGAGATACCAGCTACATGACATGACAGATACCAGGTGCATGATGTCACAGATACTAGCTACATGACATGACAGATACCAGCTGCATGATGTCACAGATACTAGCTACATGACATGACAGATACCAGCTGCATGATGTCACAGATACTAGCTACATGACATGACAGATACCAGCTGCATGATGTCACAGATACTAGCTACATGACATGACAGATACCAGCTGCATGATGTCACAGATACTAGCTACATGACATGACAGATACCAGGTGCATGACATGACAGATACCAGCTACATGACATGACAGATACCAGCTGCATGATGTCACAGATACCAGCTACATGACATGACAGATACCAGCTGCATGATGTCACAGATACTAGCTACATGACATGACAGATACCAGCTGCATGATGTCACAGATACTAGCTACATGACATGACAGATACCAGCTGCATGATGTCACAGATACTAGCTACATGACATGACAGATACCAGCTGCATGATGTCACAGATACTAGCTACATGACATGACAGATACCAGCTGCATGACATGACAAATACCAGATGCATGACGTGAGAGATACTACATGACATGAGATTTACTGGTTGCAGAATGTAAAGGAGACTGGCTGCAAAAGCACCTCCAATCATTTACACAGTACTTGTGGGTTGCCTGCGGTTCGCTACAGGTGGGGGAGGGGGGATGTCAGCACCATGTGTGGCTTCAATTTTAAAACACAGATGTCCATTGTGGTGGCTGGAAATAGTGAAAAGAAGACCAGGTGGGACATATTTTACAGGTACATAATGTGAGCAAATTGACTGGCTCCTAGGTCAACCCAGCTTAAAGTAGGTCCCCTGTCTTGTGCTGGGAAGCAAAGGTGGCCGGCAGCATGTTGACCACATCACCCTTTGAGTGCTTATTGACCTTAACAAATCTAGGTGTCACATTGTATGCCCTAACTATGCACCAGAAGGCAACTACTGGTTTTGTCACATTGTATGCCCTAACTATGCACCAGAAGGCAACTACTGGTTTTGTTGTTGTTTAAAGTATTGCACTTTGATTGTCTGCAAATATCTCTACTACCAGCATGATATAAGATTTACTTACAGCATAACATGAGGTGTATTAGCATAACATGAGGTGTAGTCACAGCATAACATGAGGTGTATTAGTATAACATGAGGTGTAGTCACAGCATAACATGAGGTGTATTAGCATAACATTAAGTGTAGTCACAGCATAACATGAGGTTTATTCATAGTATAACATGAGGTGTAGTCACAGTATAGCATGAGGCTCTTAGCATAACGAGAGGTATATTAGCATAACATAAGTTATATTAGCATAACATAAGTTATATTAGCATAAGTTATATTCACGGTATAGCATGAGGTGTAGTCACAGCATAACATGAGGTGTATTAGCATAACATGAGGTGTATTAGCATAACATGAGGTGTATTAGCATAATGTTAGGTATACTAGCTTAACGTGAGGTATATTAGCACAATGTGAGGTGTAGTCACAGCATAACATGAGGTGTATTAGCATAACATGAGGTGTAGTCACAGCATAACATGAGGTTTATTCATAGTATAAGATGAGTTGTATTCACAGTATAGCATGAGGTGTAGTCACATCATGTATACTAGCATAACAAGAGGAATAGTCACATCATAACATGATGTATATTAGAGTTTGGGGCTTCCAGCGATTGACTATGGGCTTGGTCCCCACACAGTTAGCAGACATCAGCTGGAGAGGCTAGACAAAGTGTAAAATTAAGCCATGAGACTGATCCTCGTGTGTACAAGAAAAGCCTCATGTAACGCCATGTGATACACACTTGGCCTGCCGGATATAGACACTAGATGGTTCCAGGCAAAGATCTACCTTTATGTTTGTCAACGATCTGATTTATTGTATCATAACTATGGCTTGCGTTGTAGGTCGATTTATTGTATCATAACTATAACTTGCATTGTAGGTCGATAACTGGTAAATCTGCTTTAACACATACCAAGCCGAACACCTTTGAAGCAGACACAAAATCTGTAATGTACAAAGAGCATTAAACTTATGGCAGTAAGCCTCAAGAACTGCAGGTGCCCCTTATTTAAAACCCAGGCAGTGCCAGCTTAACAATCACTAGTCACACCTGAGCCATTGCCATGAATAAGCCCTGGGCTCGAACCTGCATCATTCTCATACAGTGCTGTCCAAAGCCGCTGTCCTGGATTTGAGGATTCTGAGGCTTACACAGAGTGAATGGCCCAGTGTATGCAAGCAAATGCTAACGCCACAACTAATGCATTACAATCTTGAACAGCTGCTTAACAGAATCTGTGTGAATATTTCCTGCCCACACAATAAAACTACTTCGTCAAACACAATACGGTATAAATTACAGCTACAACCTAATCAAAACACATGGCTAAGGGTCACTAAATTGATTAGTAAATGCTAGGTTACGCATAACATAAGCTAAATTTACACCATAGCAAGAGAAATACTTATAGTAAAATTTACACCATAGCAAGAGAAATACTTATAGTTTAATGAGATATACTTACAGCATAATGAGATATACTTACGGCGCAACATGATATAGTTACAGCATAACTTGAGGTATACTTACAGTATAACATGAAGATATAGTTACAGCGTAACATGAGATATGCTCACTGCATAATGAGATATACTTACAGCATAATGTCAATTTTACTGCTAATATTCTTCAAATGGGATTTTTCTCAGAGGGATTCCTTGCTCATAATGAATCCTGACTGTTGAATATTCTCAGAGTAAATCCTTAAAGCAGATGATTCTGCTGTGGAACTCTCCTAGAATAGTTCAGTAATTTACGAGTTCTGATTGTGGTTTTACAAGTTATGGAAAGGGGAGAAAACTGCATTTCAAGTGATACTTCGATATTTCTGTGAATATATCTCATTGGTATGACCAGATTTATGACTTTATTTGTGAGAGATATCTCAGTATTTTCAGTTGCCTTAAAGATAACATATTTGTCTCTCAAGTGATGAAGAAACATGGCAAGCTGTTATCATTTCTGCGCACATTTTTTTCTCACCGGCCTCCGCGCAATCAGCTGAAACAGTCAGGCATTGTCAAAGAAAGGGTTTTTGGCTGCGACCTTGGGGAGCATCTGCTGAATTCTGGCCATGATGGTGAGTAGTTGACAGGGTTAAATGTAACCAATGAGAAAACCCAGTCACAACCTGTAGACTTGTTGACAGGCATCTTCATTGTGCGGTGTATCATAGATCTGAGACACCATGACAGGACTTGTAAAGGTGTATCGTAGATCTGAGACACCATGACAGGACATGTAAAGGTGTATTATAGATCTGTGACACCATGACAGGACTTGTAAAGGTGTATTGTAGATCTGTGACACCATGACAGGACATGTAAAGGTGTATTGTAGATCTGTGACACCATGACAGGACTTGTAAAGGTGTATTGTAGATCTGTGACACCATGACAGGACTTGTAAAGGTGTATTGTAGATCTGTGACACCATGACAGGACTTGTAAAGGTGTATTGTAGATCTGTGACACCATGATAGAGTTATTAGTTGTGGGTGTGCTTGTGGTATACCATAGATCTGTGACACCATGACAGGACATGTACAGGTGTATCGTAGATCTGAGACACCATGACAGGACTTGTAAAGGTGTATCGTAGATCTGAGACAACATGATACGACTTGTAAAGATGTATCCTAGATCTGAGACACCATGACAGGACTTGTAAAGGTGTATCATAGATCTGAGACACCATGACAGGACATGTAAAGGTGTATTATAGATCTGTGACACCATGACAGGACTTGTAAAGGTGTATCATAGATTTGAGACACCATGACAGGACATGTAAAGGTGTATTATAGATCTGTGACACCATGACAGGACTTGTAAAGGTGTATTGTAGATCTGTGACACCATGATAGAGTTATTAGTTGTGGGTGTGCTTGTGGTATACCATAGATCTGTGACACCATGACAGGAAATGTAAAGGTGTATTGTAGATCTGTGACACCATGACAGGACTTGTAAAGGTGTATTGTAGATCTGTGACACCATGACAGGACATGTAAAGGTGTATTGTAGATCTGTGACACCATGATAGAGTTATTAGTTGTGGGTGTGCTTGTGGTATACCATAGATCTGTGACACCATGACATGACATGTACAGGTGTATCGTAGATCTGAGACACCATGACAGGACTTGTAAAGGTGTATCGTAGATCTGAGACAACATGATAGGACTTGTAAAGATGTATCCTAGATCTGAGGCAACATGATAGGACTTGTAAAGATGTATCATAGATCTGAGACATCATGACAGGACTTGTAAAGGTGTATCGTAGATCTGAGACACCATGACAGGACTTGTAAAGGTGTATCTTAGATCTGAGACACCATTACAGGACTTGTAAAGGTGTATCGTAGATCTGAGACAACATGACAGGACTTGTAAAGGTGTATTATAGATCTGTGACACCATGACAGGGCTTGTAAAGGTGTATCCTAGATCTGTGACACCATGACAGGACTTGTAAAGGTGTATCGTAGATCTGAGACACCATGACAGGACTTGTAAAGGTGTATCGTAGATCTGAGACACCATGACAGGACTTGTAAAAGTGTATCCTAGATCTGTGACACCATGACAGGACTTGTAAAGGTGTATCGTAGATCTGAGACACCATGACAGGACTTGTAAAGGTGTATCGTAGATCTGAGACACCATGACAGGACTTGTAAAGGTGTATCGTAGATCTGAGACACCATGACAGGACTTGTAAAGGTGTATCGTAGATCTGAGACACCATGACAGGACTTGTAAAGGTGTATCATAGATCTGAGACACCATGACAGGACTTGTAAAGATGTATCGTAGATCTGAGACACCATGACAGGACTTGTAAAGGTGTATCGTAGATCTGAGACAACATGACAGGACTTGTAAAGGTGTATTGTAGATCTGAGACACCATGACAGGACTTGTAAAGGTGTATCATAGATCTGAGACACCATGACAGGACTTGTAAAGGTGTATCGTAGATCTGAGACACCATGACAGGACTTGTAAAGGTGTATCGTAGATCTGAGACACCATGACAGGACTTGTAAAGGTGTATCATAGATCTGAGACACCATGACAGGACTTGTAAAGGTGTATCATAGATCTGAGACACCATGACAGGACTTGTAAAGGTGTATCGTTGATCTGAGACAACATGACAGGACTTGTAAAGGTGTATCATAGATCTGAGACACCATGACAGGACTTGTAAAGGTGTATCATAGATCTGAGACACCATGACAGGACTTGTAAAGGTGTATCGTAGATCTGAGACACCATGACAGGACTTGTAAAGGTGTATCATAGATCTGCGACACCATGATAGGGTTATCAGTTGTAGATGTATCACAGGGTTATAACCTTTAGTTGCCTATGTGGTATATCATAGATCTATGACAGATTTGTCAGTTCTAGATGTGCATGTCGTATAGCATAGATCTATGACAGATTTTTCATTTGTGGAGTTGTGAATGTGCATGTGGTATATCATAGATAGGTTATTAAAACTGTGGTCTCCCCACGAAAAGTAGGTAAATTTCATTGATATGTTTGTTGGACTAGTCTTCTGTGGTCGAGGTATGGTGTGGCGGTCTGTTGTTGTGTTGCATTGACGTTATTATTCCAAGAAAGAGGCTGCCTGTGACATAGGTTTCATCACTCTGTAGGGGAGTTGTGTGTTAGACCCAGTTTCTAAATGTTTTTGTAGTGTTAAAAGCGCTGGCGTGCTTTAATATATACAAGACGCGATGTCAACGGCATTGCGGAACAGCCTCTTCACCTTGTGTGAAAGTCGGATGGCTCGAGGCCAACCAATCATAAGTGAGGTTGGCTAAATGTCGGCCAATTAGAAGCAAGCTAGTGTGTACCGGTGTGTAGAATGGGAGGAGACTATCTTTTGTTTTACTCATAGATGTATGATAGGGTTATAACTTGTGGGTATGCGTGTGGCATATCATAGATGTATGATAGGGTTATAACTTGTTGGTGTGTGTGTGTGGTATATCATAGATGTATGATAGGGTTATCAGTTGTGGATGTGCGTGTGGTATATCATAGATGTATAATATGGTTATAACTTGTGGGTGTGCTTGTGGTATATCATAGATCTGTGTCAGGGTTATCATTTGTGGGTGTGTATGTGATATATCATAGATCTGTGTCAGGGTTATCATTTGTGGGTGTGCATGTGGTGAATCATAGCTCTTTGACAGTTTTTTTTTTTGCGGGTGTGCACGTGGTATACCATAGATCTATGACAGGGTTTTCAGTTGCCGGTGTGCGTGTGGTATATCATAGATATATGACAGGGTTATCATTTGTGGGTGTGCATGTGGTATATCATAGATCTATGACAGGGTTTTCAGTTGCCGGTGTGCGTGTGGTATATCATAGATCTATGACAGGGTTTTCAGTTGCCGGTGTGCATGTGGTATATCATAGATCTATGACAGGGTTTTCAGTTGCCGGTGTGCGTGTGGTATATCATAGATATATGACAGGGTTATCATTTGTGGGTGTGCATGTGGTATATCATAGATCTATATCAGGGTTATCATTTGCGGGTGTGCATGTGGTATATCATAGTTCTGTGTCAGGGTTATCATTTGTGGGTGTGCGTGTGGTATATCATAGTTCTGTGTCAGGGTTATCATTTGTGGGTGTGCATGTGGTAATCATAGATCTATACAGTGTTATCAATTGTGGGTGGGCTTGTGACAATGTGAGAGGGTTTATGGATTAGTCTTGAGAAAAGGAAGACTTCAGAAAATCAAAGTATTGAAAAGTATGTTGGGAAGAGAGGCTGTGCTGGACCAGGAGGTTGCACATTGTGGCATTGTGGCATGGGAAAACATATATATATTAGAAATGACTGAAATAATACATCTTCAGCCAGTAAAGCTTGTTTTTCTCTTTTAGTTCCACTTCTGCTGAAAAGTTGTACAGATATTATAGAGGAGTATGGGATAGTCCATGGTATCTACAGACTATCAGGAATCACATCCAATATACAAAAACTCAGGTTGGTTGTTCTACGTGTGTACAATCTGTGATTGATGCATAAACCAATGTGTTGATTGATGATTAAATCAATGTGTTCTAGTACATAAACCAGTGAGGGAACTAATGCATAAGCCACTGTATGGACTAGTACATCAACCAGTATGTGAACTGGTACAAAACAGTGTATGGACTAGTACATCAACCAGTGTGGGAACTGGTGCATAAACAGTGTGTTACTAGTACATCAACCAGTATGGGAACTGGTACATAAACTGTGTAGACTAGTACATCAACCAGTGTGGGAACTGATACATAAACAGTGTATGGACTAGTGTCACGGCCTACACTGTGTGAGTGTCTAACATCTCATGATGTCACAGCCTACACTATGTGAGTGTCTAACATCTTATGATGTCACGGCCTACACTATGTGAGTGTCTAACATCTCATGATGTCACGGCTTACAATATGTGAGTGTCTAACATCTCATGATGTCACGGCCTACACTATGTGAGTGCCTAACATCTCATAGTGTCACGGCATAAATTGTGTGAGAGTCTAACACCTCATGATGTCACGGCCTACACTGTGTGAAGGTCTAACACCTCATGATGTTACGGCCTACACTATGTGTCTAACATCTCATGGTGTCACTGCCTACACTATGTGAGTGTCTAACATCTCATGATGTCACTGCCTACACTATGTGAGTGTCTAACATCTCATGATGTCACTGCCTACACTATGTGAGTTTCTAACATCTCATGATGTCATGGCCTACACTATGTGAGTGTCTAACATCTCATGGTGTCACGGCCTACACTATGTGTCTAACATCTCATGGTGTCACTGCCTACACTATGTGAGTGTCTAACATCTCGTGATGTCACGGCCTACACTATGTGAGTGTCTAACATCTCATGATGTCATGGCCTACACTATGTGAGTGTTTAACATCTCATGATGTCACAGCCTACACTATGTGAGTGTCTAACATCTCATGATGTCACGGCCTACACTATGTGAGTGTCTAACATCTCATGATGTCATGGCCTACTCTATGTGAGTGTCTAACATCTCATAATGTCACAGCCTACACTATGTGAGTGTCTAACATCTCATGATGTCACGGCCTACACTATGTGAGTGTCTAACATCTCATGATGTCACGGCCTACACTATGTGAGTGTCTAACATCTCATGATGTTATGGACTACACTGTGTGAGTGTCTAACATTTCATGATGTCACGGCCTACACTGTGTGAGTGTCTAACATCTCATGATGTCACGGCCTACACTGTGTGAGTGTCTAACATCTCATGATGTCACGGCCTACACTATGTGAGTGTTTAACATCTCATGATGTCACAGCCTACACTATGTGAGTGTCTAACATCTCATGGTGTCACAGCATAAATTGTGTGAAAGTCTAACCCCTCATGATGTCACGGCCTACACTGTGTGAAGGTCTAACACCTCATGATGTCACGGCCTACACTGTGTGAAGGTCTAACACCTAATTTATTCACGGCCTACACTATGTGAAGGTCTAACACCTCATGATGTCACGGCCTAGACTGTGTGAAGGTTTAACACCTCATGATGTCACGGCCTAGACTGAAGGTCTAACACCTCATGATGTCACGGCCCAGACTGTGTGAAGGTCTAACACCTAATGATGTCACGGCCTACGCTGTGTGAAGGTCTAACACCTCATGATGTCACGACCTAGACTGTGTGAAGGTCTAACACCTCATGATGTCATGGCCTACACTGTGTGAAGGTCTAACACCTTATGATGTCACGGCCTACACTGTGTGAAGGTCTAACACCTCATGATGTCACAGCCTACGCTGTGTGAAGGTCTAACACCTCATGATGTCACAGCCTACGCTGTGTGAAGGTCTAACACCTCATGATGTCACGGCCCAGACTGTGTGAAGGTCTAACACCTCATGATGTCACGGCCTACCCTATGTGAAGGTCTAACACCTCATGATGTCACGGCCTACGCTGTGTGAAGGTCTAACACCTCATGATGTCATGGCCTACACTGTGTGAAGGTCTAACACCCCATGATGTCACTGCCTACAAATCTGGATTTACAGTCTTGACTGTGTGAAGTTCTAATATATCCCCATCCAATACTAATAGCCACAGAAGGAGCGTACATGTAAATCCAGATTTGTTGAGGTGAGCATTGTCATTCCTGAACCAGCCTCTGTTGATTTTTCTGGACAGGTTAGCATTTGATGAAGATCGAGTCCCAGATCTAACAGATGACTGCTATCTACAGGACATACATAGCATCAGTTCACTGCTCAAAATGTATTTTAGAGAGCTCCCAAACCCGTTGCTGACATACCAGCTCTATGACAAGTTTGCTGTAAGTATTACTGACTCCAGGTCCAGGTATAGTTGCCAAATTTTTTATGTTTTTTGTTTGTTTTGTATTTTCATATTTATATGTGATGGCTTACAGTTACATAGGACCACTATATGCTAGTTTTCTTCTATCATTTTTTTAAAGTATTTTATCTGAGAATCAAATCTCTTTTAAAGGCTGGTCTGTCCAAATTTAAAACTTATCTGCCCCAACTTGATTCTTGACTTATCTGCCCCAACTGGAGACTTAACTGTACAAACTTTAGTCTTATCTACCCCATCTTTTGACTTATCTGCCCCAAATTGTGACTTGTCTGCCCCATCTTGTGACTTATCTGCCCCAAATTGTGACTTGTCTGCCCCATCTTGTGACTTATCTGCCCCAAATTGTGACTTGTCTACCCCAACCAGACTGATCTACCCAAACCTGAAACTAATTTGTCCCAAACTGAAACTTATCTGCCCCACTGTACATTCTTTACTATGTGTGCTGTCTGAATAAGTTGAGTTCCTGATGAATGGAACAGTTTCCATAGGTCCCTGTGACTTCTTCTTATCCCGACTGCACTGTGTGCGTATATCTACATGTGTGTGCACAAATACAGCAGTGCATATACGTGACTACCAGACATATTTGTTGCATCAGACATGTGATGTATGATTTTAGGAAACCATGAGAGATGAATACCAGACATATTTGTTGCATCAGACATGTGATTTAAGATTTTGGGATGGCGCAAGAGATGAAGATAACAAAAATGTGTTGCAGTAAACATGTGATTGTGATTTCAGGATGCTGTGAGAGATAAAGAGAACAACAATTTGTTGCAGTAAACATGTGATTGTGATTTCAGGATGCTGTGAGAGATGAAGAGAACAACAATTTGTTGCCGTAAACATGTGATTGTGATTTCAGGATGCTGTGAGAGATAAAGAGAACAACAATTTGTTGCAGTAAACATGTGATTGTGATTTCAGGATGCTGTGAGAGATAAAGAGAACAACAATTTGTTGCAGTAAACATGTGATTGTGATTTCAGGATGCTGTGAGAGATAAAGAGAACAAATATTTGTTGCAGCAAACATGTGATTGTGATTTCAGGATGCTGTGAGAGATAAAGAGAACAAATATTTGTTGCAGCAAACATGTGATTGTGATTTCAGGATGCTGTGAGAGATAAAGAGAACAACAATTTGTTGCAGTAAACATGTGATTGTGATTTCAGGATGCTGTGAGAGATGAAGATAACAAAAATGTGTTGCAGTAAACATGTGATTGTGATTTCAGGATGCTGTGAGAGATGAAGAGAACAACAATTTGTTGCAGTAAACATGTGATTGTGATTTCAGGATGCTGTGAGAGATGAAGAGAACAAATATTTGTTGCAGTAAACATGTGATTGTGATTTCAGGATGCTGTGAGAGATGAAGAGAACAAATTACTCAAGATTCATGATGTCGTTCAGCAGTTACCCCCACCTCACTACAGGTGAGTTTCTGTGAGAGTAGCACTTACCGTGCTTTCATCAAACAGACTTAAGTTCTAAGAGATTTGTGTGTGTGTATGTTCGCATGCAGCTTTTGGTACCATTATGTTAAAAGTCAGCCCAATCTACTGTTACCGAAATGTTAAAAGTCAACCACAGCTATTGTTACCACAATATTGACAGACAACCCCAGCTACTGTTACTATAATGTTAACAGTCAACCCAAGCTATTGTTACCATAATGTTAACAGTCAACCACAGCTACAGTTACCATAATTTTAAGTCAACCGCACCTGTTATTACCATACTGTTAACAGACAACCCCAGCTACTGTGTGTGCTGATGAAGGCTTAATAGCCGCAACGTTCACATTTTGTTCGAATTTGTTATATTGTGAAGCTTGCCAATATACTTTTCATTTGGGTTTATATCTTTTCTTGTTACCATAATAATAACACTCATCTAAAGCACTTGGTATCATGTTGTTAACTGTTAACCCCAACCATTGTTACCATAATGTTGATGATTAATGATAACCACCACCTCACCCCACATATTACTGCAAAGATAATGCACTCCTTCGAAATAACCCTGCTCTACCCCATATTACTATACAGTCCCCGCCTTCAACCACCCTCCAAATCCCCTGAGCTGTACATATTATAATGTTAACAGCCTTTTTCTCACTCCCCCCCCCCCCCCCCCCCCCCCCACCCACCCAGCTGTACCCAGCCTCATCCCTGCTGTTCCATTACATATCAGTCCCTGTACTTCCAGTTATTGTTAACACCATGAAAATAGTTTGTCTCAGTTATCTCCATTGAAATTAGAATCTGTCATCTCTACAGAAACTACACTGTATTATCTCTACAGAAACTACAATGTATTATCTCTACAGAAACTACAATGTATTATCTCTACAGAAACTACAATGTATTATCACTACAGAAACTACAATGTATTATCTCTACAGAAACTACAATGTATCATCTCTACAGAAACTACAATGTATTATCTCTACAGAAACTACATGTTTACAGAAACTACAATCCGTTATTTATACAGAAACCACAATCCGTTATGGCTACACAAACCACAGTCTAATATCTCTACTCAAACTGCATTCTGTTATCTCTGCAGAAAGTATAATCTGTGATATCTACAGAAACTGTTGTCTGTTATCTCTACAGAATGTATTATCTCTACAGAAACTAAAGTCTGTTATCTCTACAGAAACTAAAGTCTGTTATCTCTACAGAATATATTATCTCTACAGAAACTAGAGTCTGTTATCTCTGCAGAAACTACAGTCTGTTATCTCTACACAAAATACAATCTGTTTTTTTTTACAGAAACTACAATCTGTTATCTCTACAGAAAATACAATCTGTTATTTTTACAGAAACTACAATCTGTTGTCTCTATAGAAAATACAATCTGTTATTTTTACAGAAACTACAATCTGTAATCTTTACAGAAACTACTAGCTATAATTAACTCTACAGAAACTAGTTTATTGTCTGCAGAGACACTGCAATGTGTAGACATGTCTTGTTAATGGTAGCAATAACAGAAACTGATTGAATCAACACACAGAATGTTCTAGTTAAATGTGACTCTCAAGTTTGACTACACAAATATACTACAATTGTTGAGAGACTGATTGTCTTCTGTCTCTGACACACAGAACTACTGAATATTTAATGAGACACCTTGCTAGAGTGGCTGCCTTTGGACCTGAGACTGAGATGCACTCCAAAAATCTGGCCATTGTCTGGGCGCCCAATTTACTCAGGTAACAGTCTCCTCCTCATAGTCGGATCTTGATGTGTTGATCTTTTATCTCAGTGCCATTAGTTATTCTTACTTAGAATTCTTACTGTCAGACTTAAATCAAGAAAAAAGAACATCATCATTATTTAAGTCTGTGCCCCAACAACAGCAGCAGAGGAAGATGAAATTCAACATTTGTATAGCAATTTAGACGTTAGAGAGGGTAGAAAAAAGAGATATTATAATCATCATGGGGGATTTTGATGCAAAAATTGGTAGAGGTAGAATAGAGGAAGAGGAAATAGTCATAGACCTAATTGGCATAGGAGGCAGAAATGAGTGTGGGGAGAAACTGATCGAATTCTGTATAGAAAAGAAATGTGTACTACCAACACACTATTTAAACAACACCCAAGAAGGCTCTACACCTGGAGTTCACCAGAAGGAAATAGCAGGAACCAAATTGATTATATTTCAATACAACATATCAGGAACCAAATCGAGACACTTCCCTGAGCTGACTGTGACACTGATCACAAACTTCTTGTTGCAGAGTTTAAAATAAAACTGAAAAAAGTGTTGAAAGGGTCTAAGCCAATACGTTTTGATTTAATTAATTTACCATATGATTACAGCATTGAGGTTAAAAATAATTTTGAGGCACTCAAAGCAGTGCAGGAGGATATGACACCAGATGAGTTGTCTGATGAAGCAAGAAACATCATCATCACAACAACTCAGAACGTGATTCCTAAAAAATGACACAAGAAACAGATTTACATTACAGAAAAAAACTTTCAAGCTGATAGAAGAAAGAAGAAATTTAAAGCAAGTAGGGACAGAAATAAAGAGCCATGCATAAAGAAATGACACGAAAGAAATCAGAAGAGCTATCAGAGAAGATGAAAAACAGTTTATTATGAATACCTGAAATAGAATTGAACAACTTCAGATGCAAGGAAGAGACAGAGACATGTTTAAAGAAATAAAAACATTGAAAGGCAAATTCAGGCCTTCTTTTCATGTAAGTGATAAAAACGGTAACACATTAACGGAAACTAAAGCTATATTAGAAAGATGGAAAAAATACTGTGAATAAATGTATGAGGATCTGACAAGTAAATCGAAAACAAATTATGAAAGTTATGAAAAAGAACCAGAGCCTTTACTGGATGAGGTACGATCAGCAGTATACAGCCTGAAAAAAGAAAAGTCACCAGGTTGCGACGAAATACCAGAAGAACTAATTCAAGCAGGAGGAGAGGCCAGCATCCGAATCTACTGTGCACGAAGATCTGGAACAGTGGCATTTGGCCTAAAGCGTGGAAAAGAACAGTCTATATCCCTCTCCCAAAGAAAGGAAAATCTGAAACTATGCTTCAACTACCGTACCATCGCATTAATAAGTCATGCTCTTCCGAATTTTTATGAAGAGGATTGAAAGGAAATTACAATATGAGCACAAGCGGGTTTCAGACAGGGTAGAGGAACTAAGGATCACATCTTTAATGTGAGAATAATTTTTTTGAAAAATGTAGAGAATACAACGTAGATCTTCCTGCTTGTTTCATTGATTATAGCAAGGCATTTGATTGTGTCCAACATCAAAAACTGGATTATTATGAGAAGTTTTGGGTTTCCAGCGCATTTGGTGCATTTAGTTAAAAATCTTTATCATGAACAACAAGCAGCCATCAGAGCAGCTGGTGAAACATCGGATTGGTTTGAGGGAGTAAGACAGGGGTGCATTCTCTCACCATTCCTTTTCAATGTATACTCAGAAAATGAGAAATGTCAAAAAGGACCAGACATGTGACAGTTATAATCCGCTCTAAATTGGTGGCAACCCTATTCAGGAACTTCGCTACGAAGATAACACAGTCCTCCTTTCAAACAGCGTAAAGGGAATAGAAAATGTAATATTGTCTGTCCAAAAGCACAGTGAAGATCAAAATCTGGTAATGAATTTAAAGAAAATTAAAATAATGTCCACAGATAAAACTGGCTGTCACACAAAAATAAAAATAAATGATGAAGAAATTGAAAATGTCACAAACTTTGAATATCTAGTCTCTATAATAAATAGCAGTGGAGACTTTTTGACAGAAATTAAAAGGAGGATGGCCAAAGCAATGCAAAGATTAAACAGCCTAAAAAGTCTATGGTTAAGCACCAGCAAGGAGATCAGAATTAGAATTTTGAGAGCATGCATCTTCCCTGTAGCAACTATCGGATGTGAGTCGTGGAATATCTCTTAGTCTTTAGGAAAGAGAATGGGAGCTTTTGAGCTGAAATACTATAGAAAGATTCTCAGAATATCTTGGACAAAGAAGAGGAGAAATACCGACATCTTAAAAACAAGTAGGGGCAGGAGCCACCCAACGCGAAGATTGGCACAGGATGTAAGTGACTCCTTGAGTGTGAAAGTACATGAGGCGGGAGAGCTGGCGAGAGACCAAGTTTCTTTCAGGCAGACCGTGATGAGAGCGATGTTCTGCAAAGGACATGCTACATGATGATGATGCCATTAGTTATTTTTTCAGCCACACATGGTCTTCATCTGACTGTCATTTGTTATTGTTTTGGCCACACATGCTCTTCAGCTCAGTGCCATTTGTTATTGTTTTGGCCACACGTGGTCTTCATAACAGTTATAATAATAACATTTGTTATTGTGATAGGTGTGATATACACTCACAGTGGAGATATGTGACATCTTGTAAGGATACATGTGATGTACACCCCCAGTGGAGATGTGTGACTGTCTTGTTAGGATACATGTGACGTACACTCACAGTGAAAATGTGTGAAACTGCATTTCTACTAGACACTAGATGGCCCAGGCAGATGTATACCTTTATGTTGCTGCTGATAGAAAATGCTGTCTTCACAGTTGTATATGAGTGAACAAAGATAAGCGCCTAAACGCTGTCTTCACAGTTGTCTACGGGTGAAACACAGATAAGTGCCTAAATGCTGTCTTCACAGTTGTCTACGGGTGAACAAAGATAAGCGCCTAAATGCTGTCTTCACAGTTGTCTATGGGTGAACAAAGATAAGTGCCTAAACGCTGTCTTCACAGTTGTCTATGGGTGAAACAAAGATAAGTGCCTAAATGCTGTCTTTACAGTTGTCTATGGGTGAACAAAGATAAGCGCCTAAATGCTGTCTTCACATTTGTCTATGGGTGAACAAAGATAAGCGCCTGAACGCTGTCTTCACAGTTGTCTATGGGTGAACAAAGATAAGCGCCTGAACGCTGTCTTCACAGTTGTCTATGTGTGAACAAAGATAAGCGTCTAAACGCTGTCTTCACAGTTGTCTATGGGTGAACAAAGATAAGCGCCTAAATGCTGTCTTCACATTTGTCTATGGGTGAACAAAGATAAGCGCCTAAATGCTGTCTTCACAGTTGTCTATGGGTGAACAAAGATAAGCGTCTAAACGCTGTCTTCACAGTTGTCTATGTGTGAACAAAGATAAGCGTCTAAACGCTGTCTTCACAGTTGTCTATGGGTGAACAAAGATAAGCGCCTAAACGCTGTCTTCACAGTTGTCTGTGGGTGAATAAAGATAAGCGCCTAAACGCTGTCTTCACAGTTGTCTATGGGTGAACAAAGATAAGCGCCTAAACGCTGTCTTAACAGTTGTCTACGGGTGTACAAAGATGAGCGCCTAAATGCTGTCTTCACAGTTGTCTATGGGTGAATAAAGATAAGCGCCTAAATGCTGTCTTCACAGTTGCCTACGGGTGAATAAAGATAAGCGCCTAAATGCTGTCTTCACAGTTGCCTACGGGTGGACAAAGATAAGCGCCTAAATGTTGTCTTCACAGTTGCCTATGGGTGGACAAAGATAAGCGCCTAAATGCTGTCTTCACAGTTGCCTACGGGTGGACAAAGATAAGCGTCTAAATGCTGTCTTCACAGTTGCCTACGGGTGGACAAAGATAAGCGCCTAAATGCTGTCTTCACAGTTGCCTACGGGTGGACAAAGATAAGCACCTAAATGCTGTCTTCACAGTTGTCTATGGGTGAACAAAGATAAGCGCCTAAATGCTGTCTTCACAATTGTCTATGGGTGAAACAAAGATAAGCGCCTGAACGCTGTCTTCACAGTTGTCTATGGGTGAACAAAGATAAGCACCTAAATGCTGTCTTCACAGTTGCCTATGGGTGGACAAAGATAAGCACCTAAATGCTGTCTTCACAATTGTCTATGGGTGAAACAAAGATAAGCGCCTGAACGCTGTCTTCACAGTTGTCTATGGGTGAACAAAGATAAGCGCCTAAATGCTGTCTTCACATTTATCTATGGGTGAACAAAGATAAGCCCCTAAATGCTGTCTTCACATTTGTCTATGGGTAAACAAAGATAAGCGCCTAAATGCTGTCTTCACAGTTTTCTATGGGAGAACAAAGATAAGCGCCTAAATGCTGTCTTCACAGTTGCCTATGGGTGAACAAAGATAAGCGCCTAAATGCTGTCTTCACATTTGCCTACGGGTGGACAAAGATAAGCGCCTAAATGCTGTCTTCACAGTTGCCTACGGGTGGACAAAGATAAGCGCCTAAATGCTGTCTTCACAGTTGCCTACGGGTGGACAAAGATAAGCGCCTAAATGCTGTCTTCACATTTGGCTACGGGTGGACAAAGATAAACGCCTAAATGCTGTCTTCACAGTTGCCTACGGGTGGACAAAGATAAGCGCCTAAATGCTGTCTTCACATTTGCCTACGGGTGAACAAAGATAAGCGCCTAAATGCTGTCTTCACAGTTGCCTACGGGTGGACAAAGATAAGCGCCTAAATGCTGTCTTCACAGTTTTCTATGGGAGAACAAAGATAAGCGCCTAAATGCTGTCTTCACAGTTTTCTATGGGAGAACAAAGATAAGCGCCTAAATGCTGTCTTCACAGTTGTCTATGGGAGAACAAAGATAAGCGCCTAAATGCTGTCTTCACAGTTGCCTACGGGTGGACAAAGATAAGCGCCTAAATGCTGTCTTCACAGTTGCCTACGGGTGGACAAAGATAAGCGCCTAAATGCTGTCTTCACATTTGGCTACGGGTGGACAAAGATAAGCGCCTAAATGCTGTCTTCACAGTTGCCTACGGGTGGACAAAGATAAACGCCTAAAGAAGGAGCTGCCCTGGCTACCAGGAGCAGAGAAGACCATTGCCCGAATTTCCCCATTGCAACATTTCAGACTGCTGAATGGATAGTGTCAGAGACCTTCCGTGTTGTAAATTTAATCTGGTTAATCTGGCTCAACTACCTTACTACACACTTTAACCAAACACCGGCAGAGCACACACACACAATCTTGAATGAACAGAGATCAAATCAAACTATTAAGGTAGCCTCAAAAGTGGTGGCAGTCCCTATTTTGAAATGCCAGCTGCCTAGCTTTTCAGTTCACTAAGTGGACCGTGTCATTCCTCTGGATACAAACCCACTCCACTTTAGTACAGAGCTTGTCAAGTCGCTGTCCTCACCACTTGAGATTCTGAAACACACTGGGGAAGGCCCAAATGCGCGTGGGCAGTGTTACACCACAACGAATGCATGATAACTGTACCTAACTGCTTAACAGGTTCTACACAAAAAGTTCTTATCCCTAAAGAATGCTGCAGCCGAATAACTGCTTCACAGCTATGACTTAATCACACAATACAATTAACGGTCCGTCATTAACTGGTCGATAACACATTCACAGCTAACGGTTGTTGTCACTCGCAAGTCCACTCTCGCCCGTTTGTCTGTCCAGAGGTCGCTCTATCCAGCATTTTTGTTTAACTTCCTCGCTCAGCATTCCTTGTGGCTGTTCGTGGGCAAAGTTTAGTCATCATGGCTTCTCGTTTATTGTGATAGTCTAACCATGAGGTCATGTCTGGGTACACACAGATGACAAACATAAACATCACTGCTGGTATAGGCTCGACTGGCATCTAATAGATAGAAACACCAGAACATTTGCTGACGCACATTGAAGTAATAATCACCCTGGGCAGGTATCACAGGGAAGGTTGCCAAACAGTTGCTGATGCTGAAATAAGAGCCTTTATCTATGAGCACATTAGACCAGTTGACATCATCATCTGTACAGAGTGTTCAGTGATTGGTGAGGTGCGATTTCTGTGGGCATGTATAGCACATGAATGTGGAGACAGTAAAAGAAGAAAATCAAGCTTTCAGTTCAGCAACTTCAAGCTGGATGTTGGAGATAGCAACTGTCAGTGGCACTTGCATGGCCTGTGGCGGGTACTCACACATTTATTGTGGCACGACTTGCATGGCCTGTGGCGGGTACTCACACATTTATTGTGGCACGACTTGCCTGCTTAAGAAGATCCCAACTGGCAACTGCAACTGGAATGGGTTGACAGCATCCAGAAGTACTGTCTAAAAACCTGTCTTGGCTGAACACACCGGGACTGGCCAGGATGAAAGGAAGTGAAGGAGCTGACAGATTGGCCGTGTCTACAGTGGTTGGTGGAGGAAGAAGTATGGACAGAGTAGACATAATAAATCTGCTGCTATCTAAAGACTTCAAGACATAGGAATATCGAACAATGAACCCCCTGTTAAAGAAATAAGATACAGCAATCAACTTCTTCAAGGAAGGTTGAACATAAAGACACTGATGTGACTGCTGCAAGAATGGGTCTGACCCATGTGCCCGGTGGTCAGTACGCACAACTAGTAACAACTTGTAACAAATTACAACTTGTAATAAGTAACAATAACTAGTGACAACTTTTGACAAGTAACATCTAGTAACACCTAGTAACAAGTAACATTATCTGTTTATGTGTGTGTGTGTGTGAAACTTTCTCAGCGTTCATGACACTGAACTTATTATTGCAGGTCTAAAGAGCTAGAAGCAGGTGGCGGAGCAGCAGCTCTCCAGGGAGTGGGAATTCAGGCTGTAGTTACTGAGTGTTTGATCTGCTACTGTGATATCATCTTTAGTGACAAGATGCCAGATTATAACTCACAGGATTCCACAAGTGAGTGGCAAACATTCAGAAATGTCATTTAACTTTGCTTTGGAGGATCTCTCAGTTCCTTTTTGTGCAGTGACTTCTAGTTGTCCTCAGAATTGCTGTTCTCATGAGACTAACTACCTGTAATTGGTGTTGGATCACATGTAAGATAGTCACTTCTAGCTGTCCATCTTTGCTAGCCTGCCTTTTGTTTTTGACTTGACATTCACAGTATGCAAATTATTACATGAACATAACATGCTTTATTAATAAAATACAACTGCTGTGTGAAAGATAAGAGTTTGGAAGGGCCTAGTTTGTAACCCTTTGAAAATAAAGTTCATTCGTTCGTTCATCTTTGCCAGCCTGTCTAACTTGTCATTACCCATCTTTGCTAGCATGCCTGACTTGTCATGACCCATCTTTGCTAGCATGTCTAACTTGTCATGACCCATCTTTGCTAGCATGTCTAACTTGTCATGACCCATTTTTGCTAGCCTGTCTAACTTGTCATGACCCATCTTTGCCAGCCTGTCTGACTTGTCATGGCACATCTTTGCCAGCCTAACTTGTCATAACCCATTTTTGCCAGCCTGTCTAACTTGTCATCACCCATCTTTGCTAGCCTGCCTGACTTGTCATGACCCATCTTTGCTAGCCTGCCCATCTAGTCATGGCACATCTTTGCTAGCCTGCCTGACTTGTCATGACCCATCCTTGCTAGCCTGCCTGACTTGTCATGACCCATCTTTGCCAGTCTGTCTGACTTGTCATGACCCATCTTTGCTAGCCTGCCTGACTTGTCATGACCCATCTTTGCCAGCCTGCCTATCTTGTCATGGCCTATCTCTGCTAGCCTGTCTGACTTGTTATGACACATCTTTGCTAGCCTGCCTGACTTGTCATGACCCATCTTTGCCAGCCTGCCTGACTTGTCATGACCCATCTTTGCTAGCCTGCCTGACTTGTCATGACCCATCCTTGCTAGCCTGTCTAACTTGTCATTACCCATCTTTGCCAGCCTGTCTAACTTGTCATTACCCATCTTTGCTAGCATGCCTGACTTGTCATGACCCATCTTTGCTAGCATGTCTAACTTGTCATGACCCATCTTTGCTAGCCTGTCTAACTTGTCATGACCCATCTTTGCAGCCTGTCTGACTTGTCATGGCACATCTTTGCTAGCCTAACTTGTCATAACCCATTTTTGCCAGCCTGTCTAACTTGTCATGACCCATCTTTGCTAGCCTGCCTGACTTGTCATGGCACATCTTTGCTAGCCTGCCTGACTTGTCATGACCCATCCTTGCTAGCCTGCCTGACTTGTCATAACCCATCTTTGCCAGTCTGTCTGACTTGTCATGACCCATCTTTGCTAGCCTGCCTGACTTGTCATGACCCATCTTTGCTAGCCTGCCTGACATGTCATGACCCATCTTTGCCAGCCTGCCTATCTTGTCATGGCCTATCTCTGCTAGCCTGTCTGACTTGTTATGACACATCTTTGCTAGCCTGCCTGACTTGTCATGACCCATCTTTGCCAGCCTGCCTGACTTGTCATGACCCATCTTTGCTAGCCTGCCTGACTTGTCATGACCCATCCTTGCTAGCATGTCTGACTTGTCATGACCCATCTTTGCCAGCCTGTCTGACTTGTCATGACCCATCTTTGCTAGCCTGCCTGACTTGTCATGACCCATCTTTGCTAGCCTGCCTGACTTGTCATGACACATATTTGCTAGCCTGTCTAACTTGTCATGACCTATCTTTGTTAGCATGTCTAATTTGTCATGACCCATCTTTGCTAGCCTGCCTGACTTGTCATGACCCATCTTTGCTAGCCTGTCTACCTTCTCATGAACCATCTTTGCTAGCCTGCCTGACTTGTCATGACCCATCTTTGCTAACCTGTCTAACTTGTCATGACCCATCTTTGCTAACCTGTCTAACTTGTCATGACCCATCTTTGCTAACCTGTCTAACTTATCATGACCCATCTTTGCTAACCTGTCTAACTTATCATGACCCATCTTTGCCAGCCTGTCTAACTTGTCATGAACCATCTTTGCTAACCTGTCTAACTTATCATGACCCATCTTTGCCAGCCTGTCTAACTTGTCATGAACCATAAATGCCAACATTCCCTGTCATGACTTATATTTGATAGGCTGTCTACCAAGTGATAGCCCATCTTTGCTACCCTGTCTTGTCATGGAGTTGTCTATTCCTGGTAGTAAACTCTACTACCTTGTTATATTTTCTTTAGTGTAAACTGTACCTTGTTGTTTTTTCTTCAGTGTAATCTGCACCTTGATGTTGTGTTTTCTTTAGTGTAAACTGTACTGTGTTGTATTGTTTTCTTCAGTGTAAACTGTACCGTGTTATAGTGATTTCTTCAGTGTGAACTGTACCTGTTGTTACATTTTCTTTAGTGTAAACTATACCTTGATGTTGTGTTTTTTTTAAAGTGTAAACTGTACCGTGTTGTAGTGATTTCTTCAGGGTGAACTGTACCGTGTTGTAGTGATTTCTTCAGTGTGAACTGTACCGTGTTGTAGTGATTTCTTAAGGGTGAACTGTACCGTCTTGTAGTGATTTCTTCAGTGTGAACTGTACTATGTTGTTGTGTTTTCTTCAGTGTAAACTGTACCATGTTGTAGTGATTTCTTCAGCGTGAACTGTACCGTGTTGTAGTTATTTTTTTCAGTGTGAACTGTACCTGTTGTTAGATTTCTTCAGTGTAAACTGTACCTTGATGTTGTGTTTTGTACAGTGTAAACTGTACCTTGATGTTGTGGTTTCTGCAGTATATATACTGCACCGTGTATTTGTTATGTCTTACCTGACCTGTTTGTAATATGCCTTAGATTTTATTTTTATAGTTTGTCATACAGGTTTTTTTTGGGTAGCATATCTGACATAAACTGAAATATGGCGTTTACTGCTGATGACTGGTATTTCATCTTTGGCATACCACACATAATTGTGCTGCTACATACTCTAACAGGAGCTCCAAGGAAGACCCGCCCTAAGTCCCTGGCCATCTCCAGCCCAACCCGTCTCTTATCTCTAGAGGAAGCCAGAGAAAGAGCATTTGTTGGTCACATGGCACCAAAGAAGTTTATTGATGTAGGAGGTGGACCCAGAAACCTTCCATCTAAATATCACACAGTGATTGATTTGCCTGGTTACAGGTAATATTCTATGACTGAGTGATTGATTTTCCTGATTACAGATAATATTTTATGACTTAGTGATTGATTTGCCTGGTTACATGTAATATTTTATGACTGAGTGATTGATTTGCCTGGTTACAGGTAATATTCTATGACTGAGTGATTGATTTGCCTGATTACAGGTAATATTTTATGACTTAGTGATTGATTTGCCTATTTACAGGTAATATTGTATGACTTGGTGATTGATTTGCCTGGTTACAGGTAATATTTTATGACTCAGTGATTGATTTGCCTGGTTACAGGTAATATTTTATGACTTGGTGATTGATTTGCCTGGTTACAGGTAATATTTTATGACTCAGTGATTGATTTGCCTGGTTACAGGTAATATTTTATGACTTAGTGATTGATTTGCCTGGTTACAGGTAATATTTTATGACTTGGTGGTTGATTTGCCTGGTTACAGGTAATATTATATGACTCAGTGATTGATTTGCCTGGTTACATTTAATATTTTATGACAGATTGGTTGATTTGCCTGGTTGTGTGTATGTCAGACTAGAAAAACAGAAGACTGTGTATGACTATCTAGAAGAACAGAAGACTGTGTAAATGACAGACTAGAACCAAGGCATGCTGTGTGTTGACAGACTAGATGAATAGAAAACTGTGTTCCAGACAAACTAGAATAACAACAGACTGTGTAAGACAGACTAGAAGAACAGAAGGCTGTGTGTAAGACAGACCTGAAGAACAAAAGGCTGTGTGTAAGACAGACTAGAAGAACAAAAGGCTGTGTAAGACAGACTACAAAAACAGAAGGTTAGGTGTAAGACAGACTAGAAGAACAGAAGGCTTTGCATATGACAGACTGGAAGAATAGAAGACTGTGTGTTTGACAAACTAGTTGTGTATATGACAGACTAGAAGAACATGAGGCTGTTAGACAAATGAAAAAAAAAGCGGTTTGTATGACTCAGTGTAGCAGAAAGATGTAGGTTTTGAAATATTGGCTTTGATGGGAGAGTACATGGCCTGAAGATTTTCAGTAAGTATTTTTTAACAAAATTGTGATTGTTTTAACAGGAAACGAGCTCCCAGCATCTCTAGTGACAGTAAACCTGCCTCAGGTAACAAGAAAATGTCTACAACCTGTGGTGGTGGTGGTGGAAGTGGTGGCTGGAAATCTATTTTTATAAAACCTCGAAGTGGCAGCATCAAAAAGTCCAGAAAATATGGTCCACAAGGTACAGTGGTATTATTTTTTTCTCTTCTTCTTCTTCTTCTTCTTCTCCACGTTAACAAAATGTGTGATGTAAGTATGGTATAACCTGTGATGCAGGTATGGTATAACCTGTGAGGCAGGTATGGTATAACCTGTGATGCAGGTATGGTATAACCTGTGAGGCAGGTATGGTATAACCTGTGATGTAAGTATGGTATAACCTGTGAGGCAGGTATGGTATAACCTGTGATGCAGGTATGGTATAACCTGTGATGCAGGTATGGTATAACCTGTGAGGCAGGTATGGTATAACCTGTGATGCAGGTATGGTATAACCTGTGAGGCAGGTATGGTATAACCTGTGAGGCAGGTATGGTATAACCTGTGATGCAGGTATGGTATAACCTGTGATGCAGGTATGGTATAACCTGTGATGCAGGTATGGTATAACCTGTGAGGCAGGTATGGTATAACCTGTGATGCAGGTATGGTATAACCTGTGAGGCAGGTATGGTATAACCTGTGATGCAGGTATGGTATAACCTGTGAGGCAGGTATGGTATAACCTGTGAGGCAGGTATGGTATAACCTGTGATGCAGGTATGGTATAACCTGTGATGCAGGTATGGAGTAACCTGTGATGCAGGTATGGTATAACCTGTGATGCAAGTATGGTATAACCTGTGATGCAGGTATGGTATAACCTGTGATGCAGGTATGGTATAACCTGACCATACTAAATACATTTCATGACCTTCAGTTGTGCCAGTACTAAATACTTGAGAAGAAGAGATACTAAGTGGATGAGTGACGTACAAGTATAAAACGACAAGATGATATAATCATTGGTTGCAGGTACTGCACATATAATTCAGATGAACAACATTGATAGAGGAACGACATTGATTGAGGAACGGCATTGATAGAGGAACGACATTGATAGAGGAACAACATTGATAGAGGAACAACATTGATAGAGGAACAACATTGATAGAGGAACAGCATTGATAGAGGAACAGCATTGATAGATGAACAACATTGATAGAGGAATGACATTGATAGTAAAACAACATTGATAGTAAAACATTGATAGAGGAACAACATTGATAGAGGAACAACATTGATAGTAAAACAACATTGAAAGAGAATATACGATGCTAATGAGGACCTGGCAGTAGCAACCTTATGTTGCTGATGATGTTGAGATTGGCTTGGTGTGTGTCGTTCATGTTTGAGATTCTGGCTTTTCCAACAAGGTCATTCCTAGAAAGACACTGTCAAAAATATCTGTAGCCACATTTTATATGTAATTGATAGATGCTGAAACATAGACCGGAGTAGGCACAGATGTGAATTCAGATGAAGTCTGGCAATTAGATTCATGAGCTCTACACAATCAGATGTTCAGACTCAGGCATGCTATATACCAGTAGATCAAGAATGTGCACTAGTAAAAGGATCTCAGTATGGGCAGTGACATTCAGATCAAGCCAAGTAACAGGTATGTGATGGTAGGAGAAAGGATAGAACAATCATTATGATTACCAACGGTCCTCTCCTGATCCACACATTTCTTATGCCTCCTCTTCTTTTTTCCCGGCATGAGAGAAAAAACATTAGGGCCCCTGAATAGATGACCTCCAGAAAAGTCAAACCATGCAAGAAAGAACAAGCTAGATTTCTTATTCCATCTCAAACATGGAATTAATCAAGCAGAAATGCTATGAACATTTCCCAAGGGTCAACCTGCCCTGTCAAGGTTAAGAACAATTTCCTAGATTAGTATCACACCTACCCAGCCATGACATATCTGACACATGATCCATTGATAAATTAGCAGTCTTACCTGCATATTCAAATTATCAAATCCATGACAAAGCACAAATTCTTTTTTTTTTTAAACACACACCACAAGAATCTGTTCAAATTCTTAGCCATCTCGATCCTAGAATGATGGATCGAGCTACTTTTCAACGGCCATGTGCTGCGTGCATTCCGTTTCCCAAGACAACGGCACGTAGATTTTCCCCCATCTATAATTATGAATTCCCCGCATAATACTTTAATAATTTTTACATTCCAAAGTATATAAACAGTCCGGTTACCCAGGTAACTTAATTAAAACAATGGTAAATATAAATGCTTGAGCAATGCAAAGAATTCCCAAGGTGATACAGTTGTCTCTATGACATCATACTTTCGCAGATATACTGCAAAACTCAATGATTCTCAAGTTTATGAGCATAGGGCTCATAGGTGTTTTGTGACAGTCCTCTTGTGCCTACCTCAATGGTGAAGATTTTTACTGGATGCACATCATCTCTCCCTAGACCGGCCACCAGCTCTCTGTACTTTTTGAGCTTGTACAGGTGATTTTCATCCATTCACGGCTCATACAGCATGGTCAGCTCTATCAGATGAGCTGGCATTTTTCTGCAGAGTGCGGGACCATGTCTGGTCTCAGGCCGGTCTTTCAGATTGATTCTGAGTACTTTTCAAAACCAGGCAGGTCGAGAGCCAATAACCAGTCCCTCCCACATTCATGTATTGATGGAGCCTATACGACCTTGTTGACTTTACCTTTAGACATCTGCCCAGCCTTGAGGAAGCGCATGGGGTGACAGTAGGACTGGCTCTCGCATAGGCCCTCATCCTGGCTTGATCCACAATGTCTGCTAACTCTTTCTGGACTTTATTGAGGTGCAATTTATATCGTCCCTGGCCTAGAGATTTTCTGCAGGCAGACAATACATGCTGGAGCATACTTAAACATGACTTCAAACAGAGAGCTTTAACATTGACTGCATTCTCTTATTCCTTCACATTGGTATAACTTGTGCATGTTTTGTGTCTATGGGAGCAGTTTGTTGTATCCATGCTGCATTCTCGCTTGCTTCTCTTATTCCTTCACATTGGTATAACTTGTGCATGTTTCCAGTCTATGGGAGCAGTTTGTTGTATCCATGCTGCATTCTCGCTTGCTTCTCTTATTCCCTCACATTGGTATAACTTGTGCATGTTTCGTGTCTATGGGAGCAGTTTGTTGTATCCATGCTGCATTCTCGCTTGCTTCTCTTATTCCTTCACATTGGTATAACTTGTGCATGTTTCGTGTCTATGGGAGCAGTTTGTTGTATCCATGCTGCATTCTCGCTTGCTTCTCTTATTCCTTCACATTGGTATAACTTGTTCGTGTTTCGTGTCTATGGGAGCAGTTTGTTGTATCTATGCTGCATTCTCGCTTGCTTCTCTTATTCCTTCACATTGGTATAACTTGTGCATGTTTCATGTCTATGGGAGCAGTTTGTTGTATCTATGCTGCATTCTCGCTTGCTTCTCTTATTCCTTCTCATTGGTATAACTTGTGCATGTTTCGTGTCTGTCACAGACCTCTGGGTGACCTTGCTGGTCCGTGGCTCGTAACTGGGCCTATGACAGACAGACTAACCTTTTACACACACTGAACCCGAACGCACACAGAGCACACACGACAATCTTTATTGTAAGTGCAGGTTATACAATAGACAGTTGACTTCCCGCTGTGTGGCCACCTATTGCTTGGACCCTCTGGCCGAACGAGCTTTACAGTCGCCTCGCTCCCAGTACGTCAACCCTGGGGTGTCACCTCAACACGCACACCTTACGGTGTAGTCTATTCCGCCACTGACTGTACTCATAGGGTTGTGACAGTGTCTATGGGAGCAGTTTGTTGTATCCATGCTGCCTTCAATATTCTGTGAAGCCATCTGATGTTGCTTTCACCTGCTGCTTAGTTCTGTTGGTAATCTATCAGCTCCTGGTGCTTTATATTTGGGAGACTGGCTTATGACTTTTTTTTACTGCATCATTTAGAATATGAGGTTCTAGAACTGTTGCTTTACAGTCTTGCGTTGTTCTTTCCTGGTGATGCCACAAGGGGTTCAATATCATTAATTATTTCTGTGAGGTTGAAGCTCTCATCTCTTTTTCACATACTTTTGACTACTTTGTAAAAATGTTTTACTGGCTGTTTTCTAATCTTCTGCTTTTGTCACTCTGAAACGTTCCCAGTATTATTGTTTTTCTTTCTTGACCTTTCAGTTGATTTCTGTCCCTTGCAGTCTGTAACTAATATAATCTTCAACTCTCTTTGATTTTAACCACTGTTTCTATAGGTCTTTTTTATTCTTAACTGCTTCTATTAGTTCTTCACACCATCCTAGTGATATTGATGATAACTGTCTGTTTCCCCTCTCCTGTTGTCCACATAATTCCTCTGCAATAGAAGTATAGTGGTTTTATATTCATTCTGTTCATCATCAGCTGGTGACAGTTCTTTGAAGGCTGTATCTGTTTTCTGTTGAGCTTTTGGTTTCTGTCACATCAACCATTAGGGATTGCTCTTTTCCTTCTTCCTGTTGCTTTAGTTAGTGTGACTCTTTATGGAAGGGTTATTCTATTTGTACCAAGTGTAAAGCTCAGAGTTACTCTTTATATTATTATACAATTACGAATGGTGCAATAATTGCTTGTTTGTAAGATTATACATGGATCATTTGTGTATGACAGCATCAGACGTATATAACTAAATTATAAATGACAACACCAGTTGTATATGACAGCACCAGTTGTATGTGACAGCATCAGTTGTATGTGACAGCATAATTTGAATGTATGACAACATCAGAGGTATATGACAGCATAATTTGAATATGTGACATCAGATGTATGTGACAGAACAATTTGATTTTATGACAGCATCAGTTGTATATGACAGCATCATTGTAAATAACAGCATCAGTTTTATAAGACAGAATTAGTTCTATATGACAATATCGGAATATTATATGACAACATCGGAATATTATATGACAACATCGGAATGTATATGACAACATCGGAATATTATATGACAACATCAGAATGTATATGACAACATCGGAATATTATATGACAACATCGGAATATTATATGACAACATCAGAATGTATATGACAACATCGGAATATTAAATGACAACATCAGAATGTATATGACAACATCGGAATGTATATGACAACATCGGAATATTATATGACAACATCGGAATGTATATGACAACATCGGAATATTAAATGACAACATCAGAATGTATATGACAACATTGGAATATTATATGACAACATCAGAATATTATATGACAACATCAGAATGTATATGACAACATCGGAATGTATATGACAGCATCATTGTAAATAACAGCATCAGTTTTATAAGACAGCAATAGTTCTATATGACAACATCGGAATGTATATGACAGCTTCATTGTAAATAACAGCATCAGTTTTATAAGACAGCATTAGTTCTATATGACAACATCGGAATGTATATGACAACATCGGAATGTATATGACAACATCGGAATGTATATGACAACATCGGAATATTATATGACAACATCGGAATGTATTTGACAACATAGGGCTCAGTTAAATCAGGAGAAAATGAACCATCTAGGGTGGGAACTTCTGGAACATCCACCTTACAACCCCGACTTTGCCGCTAGCGATTTCCACCTTTTTTGTCCACTGAAAACCTACCTTGACAGGAGACATTTGAAGAATGACGCAGATGTTGAATGTGAAGTGAAAATGTGGTTTGTAAAACAGAGCCCGCAGTTCTATGCAGCAGATGTAGGAGGACTGATAAAACGATGGGACAAGTGCATCAGTGTTGGTGGAAATTATGTTAACAATTAAAGGTACAGTGAATGTGTAAAAATAAACAATTTTCAGCTGTCTTTTTTTAATTTAAACAACGTTTTTGTGACTGACTTATTGACTTCTGAGATGTATGTGTGCGTATCGTATCCATTCATGAGTTCTGTTGTATCTGTGTGTGTCCATGAATGAGTTCTGGAGTATCTGTGTGTGTCCATAAATGAGTTCTGGTGTATCTGTGTGTGTCCATTAATGAGTTCTGGTGTATCTGTGTGTGTCCATTAATAATCATTGTTTGTCAGTGTTTGTTTCATGTGTTTATCTTCTCAGATTCCATGACCCTGGGAGCTGCTCAGGGAAAGGCTTTAACTGAAGAAGATGTGCACAACTGGAAACGACATCTTCGTTCAGCTAAAAGTGCTGAATCTCTCTTCTCTCTCATCAACTCGTCCCACGGCAGTCTCAGCAGCAGAACATCAGTCGATCAGACGCTGGTTCCAGAGGTCTCAGTCTTCAGTCAAGGTCACTAGTTTTCTTCTTTGCTCTTACAACAACATACGTGCTTCATTATTAGCCTTTTATTGTATGTCAACCACAAATGGGTGTGTATTTGCTATTCTTAACCTTTGTGTCACCCACACATTGTCATGTGTATGCTATTCTTCGCTTAAGATTTGTGTGTCACGCCTACATGGATTTATACATGTTACTCTTCTTAGTATTAGATTTTTGTCCACTGTTTGCATCATACAAAATTACATATTTTGTTCAGCACTTGGCGACACTTTATCGCAGTAGTAAACATCTTGTTATTTTAATATATATATATATATGCCATTTTGCTGAAGTTTAATTGTGTGATGGCACATCCCTTCCTAACCGTTATGAAGCATTTTCAAATCTGATGACTTTTCTAAGACTGATTATTGTCCCCACCTCTGTTAAGCATTTTCTCATCTCATTTCACATTGATTCTCTTGCTTAAGAATTATCTCATTTACTTGAACACTGTTAAATAAAGCAACCAACACTGTGCTACCAGTGCCAGACCTGAACTCTTAAATATAGCAACCAACACTACTATCAGTGCCAGACCTGAACTCTGTTAAATATAGCAACCAACACTACTATCAGTGCCAGACCTGAACTCTGTTAAATATAGCAACCAACACTACTATCAGTGCCAGACCTGAACTCTGTTAAATATAGCAACCAACACTATACTACCAGTGCCAGACCTGAACTCTGTTAAATAAAGCAACCAACACTATGCTACCAGTGCCAGACTCTGTTAAATATAGCAACCAACACTACTATCAGTGCCAGACCTGAACTCTGTTAAATATAGCAACCAACACTACCATCAGTGCCAGACCTGAACACTGTTAAATATAGCAACCAACACTACTATCAGTGCCAGACCTGAACTCTGTTAAATATAGCAACCAACACTACTATCAGTGCCAGACCTGAACTCTGTTAAATATAGCAACCAACACTATACTACCAGTGCCAGACCTGAACTCTGTTAAATAAAGCAACCAACACTATGCTACCAGTGCCAGACCTGAACTCTGTTAAATATAGCAACCAACACTACCATCAGTGCCAGACCTGAACTCTGTTAAATATAGCAACCAACACTACCATCAGTGCCAGACCTGAACACTGTTAAATATAGCAACCAACATTACTATCAGTGCCAGATCTGAACTCTGTTAAATATAGCAACCAACACTACTATCAGTGCCAGACCTGAACACTGTTAAATATAGCAACCAACACTACTATCAGTGCCAGACCTGAACACTATTAAATATAGCAACCAACACTATACTATCCGTGCCAGACCTGAACTCTGTTAAATATAGCAACCAACACTACTACCAGTGCCAGACTTGAACACTGTTAAATATACCAACCAACACTGTGCTACCTGTGCCAGACTTGAACTCCTGTTAAATATTGCAACCAATACTACTATAATGCCAGACTTGAACTCTGTTAAATATAGCAACCAAAACTATACCACCAGTGCCAGACCTGAACTCTGTAAAATATAGCAACCAACACTACTTTCAGTGCCAGACCTGAACTCTGTTAAATATAGCAACCAACACTGTGCTACCAGTGCCAGACCTGAACTCTGTTAAATATAGCAGCCAACACTATACTACCAGTGCCAGACCTGAACTCTGTTAAATATAGCAGTCTATAGTCAGTGATGCAAACATGTCAGTTAGTAATTGGTTATACATAATGTATCATGTCAGTGTGTAGTTGGTTATACATAATGTATCATGTCAGTGTGTAGTTGGTGATACATAATTATTATATGAGTGTGTAGTTGGTGATACATAATGTATCATGTCAGTGTGTAGTTAGTGATACGTAATGTATCATGTCAATCTGGAAATCCAACAGTTACTGCAGAGGAACAAAACTCCGACTCTACAAGAGCATCATTTTGCCAGTTCTTCTTTATGGAGCAGAATGCTGGAGAATGACCAAAAAGGATGTACACAAGCTGTCCACCTTTCACCACACATGTCTACGCAGAATTATCAAAATTTTCTGGCCAGATACAATCTCAAACACTAAACTACTTCAAGTCACAAACCAAGAAACTCTAGACAGTATGATAACCAAGAGAAGGTGGAAATGGCTTGGCCACATTATGAGAATGAATCGGGATATACCTGCCTAAACAGCTCTCACATGGATACCAGAGGAAAAGAGAAAAAATGGGCACCCAAAAACAACATGGAGATAAACGATGGAAAGTGGCCTTTGACATGGAAAACTGCATTGAAGATTGCACAGGACAGGAAAGCATGGAAAGTCCTCTCTGAAGTCTCATGTGCTACTAGGCATAACAAGAACTGATGATGATGAATGTATCATGTCAGTGTGTAGTTGGTGATACATAATGTATCACGTTAGTGTGTAGTTGGTGATACATAATGTATCATGTCAGTATGTAGTTGGTGATACATAATGTATCATGTCAGTGTGTAGTTGGTGATACATAATGTATCATGTCAGTGTGTAGTTGGTGATACATAATGTATCATGTCAGTGTGTAGTTGGTGATACATAATGTATCATGTCAGTGTGTAGTTGCTGATACATAATATATCATGTCAGTGTGTAGTTGGTGATACATAATGTATCATGTCAGTGTGTAGTTGCTGATACATAATGTATCATGTCAGTGTGTAGTTGGTGATACATAATGTATCATGTCAGTGTGTAGTTGCTGATACATAATGTATCATGTCAGTGTGTAGTTAGTGATACATAATGTATCATGTCAGTGTGTAGTTGGTGATACATAATGTATCATGTCAGTGTGTAGTTGCTGATACATAATGTATCATGTCAGTGTGAAGTTGGTGATACATAATATATCATGTCAGTGTGTAGCTGGTGATACAAACTTATCATGTCAGTGTGTAGTTTTTGATTTATAATTATCATATGAGTGTGTAGTCAGTGATACATAATGTACCATGTCAATGTGCATTAGTAAAGTCACTAGTACAGAGTTGTCAGGTTTCGTTCACATTGAATATCTGCTGCTGCTGTGACTTCAGCGTGTCAAGTATAAATAATTGTGACTTAAATAAATAAATGGAATATCAGAAAGAATAGAATGATTTATGTATATCCAGTGTCAACAAGTTTTACTTTAACCTCAATGAATCATCTCAAAGTTTCTTCTTGTTTCTGCAAACACTCAGGACCAAACAGCAAACTCCAGCTGTCCCACAAACGCTCACTGTCGTCTGATGCTTCTGCTATCCTCCATCACTGCTGCTCCAGCCCAGACCCAGCATTACATCCTCAGTCACCAGGTATTTCATGTGTCCATGTCTGCATGAATGTGCAGACTACACCTGTTTGACTGATCTGCATGAATGTGCAGACTACACCTGTTTGACTGATCTGCATGAATGTGCAGACTACACCTGTTTGACTGATCTGCTTGAATGTTTCGGTAGCATCTGACTGATTATGTTTTCATGTAATGCTGCCTGATTTATCAGTGGGATATTCTCACACAGGAAAGTGAGGGTAGTATAAATGATTGGTTGGTAGTTACTGGTGGTTGACTATGTTACTGGTGGTTGATTCCTTGTGTTTCCTGTAACAAACCACTATCTCCCACATCCACATATATTTACACACAATGGAGTTCTAAACCACAATCTAAAATTCCTAGTTACAGACACAAGATGGATATTCAAGACCACTAGACACAGCCACAAGATCAAATTTTCTAAATCACAATAAAGAATGCCTAGTTACAGGCACAATATCAGATATTCTAAACCACTAGTTACAAGCACGAGATCACATTCTAAACCACTAGTTAAAGCACAAGATCACATATTCTAAACCACAAGTTACATCCAAAAGATCAGATATTCTAAACCACTAGTTACAGGCACAAGATCAGATATTCTAAGCCACTAGTTACAAGCACAAGATCACATATTCTAAACCACAAGTTACAGGCACAAGATCAGATGTTCTAAACCACTAGTTACAGGCATAAGATCAGATATTCTAAACCCTTAGTTACAGGCACAAGATCAGATATTCTAAACCCTTAGTTACAGGCACAAGATCAGATATTCTAAACCCTTAGTTACAGGCACAAGATCAGATATTCTAAACCACTAGTTACAGGCACAAGATCACATATTCTAAACCACTAGTTACAGGCACAAGATCACATATTCTAAACCACTAGTTACAGGCACAAGATCAGATATTCTAAACCACTAGTTACAGGCACAAGATCAGATATTCTAAACCCTTAGTTACAGGCACAAGATCAGATATTCTAAACCACTAGTTACAGGCACAAGATCAGATATTCTAAACCACTAGTTACAGGCCAGGCACAAGATCACATATTCTAAACCACTAGTTACAGGCACAAGATCAGATATTCTAAACCACTAGTTACAGGCACAAGATCAGATATTCTAAACCACTAGTTACAGGCACAAGATCACATATTCTAAACCACTAGTTACAGGCACAAGATCACATATTCTAAACCACTAGTTACAGGCACAAGATCACATATTCTAAACCACAAGTTACAGGCACAAGATCAGATGTTCTAAACCACTAGTTACAGGCACAAGATCAGATATTCTAAACCCTTAGTTACAGGCACAAGATCAGATATTCTAAACCCTTAGTTACAGGCACAAGATCAGATATTCTAAACCACTAGTTACAGGCACAAGATCAGATATTCTAAACCCTTAGTTACAGGCACAAGATCAGATATTCTAAACCCTTAGTTACAGGCACAAGATCAGATATTCTAAACCACTAGTTACAGGCACAAGATCAGATATTCTAAACCACTAGTTACAGGCACAAGATCAGATATTCTAAACCCTTAGTTACAGGCACAAGATCAGATATTCTAAACCACTAGTTACAGACACAATATCAGATATTCTAAACCACTAGTTACAGACGCAAGATCACATATTCTAAACGAAAAATTACAGGCAAGATGACATATTCTAAACCACTAGTTAGATGCACAAGATCAGATATTTTAAATCACAATCTAAATTACTAGTTACAGGCACCAGATTATTATATATATATTTTATATATCTAAAGCACAGTCTAAAATACCTAGTTACATGCACATATTCTGAATCACAATCTAAAATACTTTGTTGCAAGCACAGATCCCGGCAATCAAAAAAACAATCTAATCTACTGAGTTACTCACAAACTCTTACATTCTAAAGCAGTCTCAATTACCTGCTTACAGTTACATTTTCTGAAGCACCATCTAAATTACCAAGTTACAGCCACCAATCCTGACATTCAAGAGTACAATCTAACATACCTAGTTACACTCATATATATTGACATTCTCAGGCATTGTCTCCCATACCCTGTTACTGGCACATAAGAACATAATTTTGAATTCAGAGGATCAAGACTCAATCAATCTCATCTTGCACCAGTAGATCCATTTTCTCTGATAGTCCATTCTTTATTCTCTGTCATTATTTGTATTTTCTCAAGCCATGTCATTAGTTGTATTTTCACAGGCCCTGTAATAATGTCATTAGTTGTATTTTCACAAGCCCGGTAATATGTCATTAGTTGTATTTTCACAAGCCCTGTAATAATGTCATTAGTTGTAGTTTCACAATCCCTGTAATAATGTAATTAGTTGTATTTTCACAAGCCCTGTAATAATGTCATTAGTTGTATTTTCACAAGCCATGTAATAATGTCATTAGTTCTATTTTCACAGGCCCTGTAATAATGTCATTAGTTCTATTTTCACAAGCCCTGTAATAATGTCATTAGTTGTATTTTCACAAGCCCTGTAATAATGTCATTAGTTGTATTTTCACAGGCCCTGTAATAATGTCATTAGTTGTATTTTCACAAGCCCGGTAATATGTCATTAGTTGTATTTTCACAAGCCCTGTAATAATGTCATTAGTTGTAGTTTCACAAGCCCTGTAATAATGTCATTAGTTCTATTTTCACAGGCCCTGTAATAATGTCATTAGTTGTATTTTCACAATCCCTGTAAAATGTCATTAGTTGTATTTTCACAATTCCTGTAATAATGTAATTAGTTGTATTTTTACAAGCCCTGTAATGTCATTAGTTGTATTTTCACAAGCCATGTAATAATGTCATTAGTTGTATTTTCACAAGCCCTGTAATATGTCATTAGTTGTATTTTCAGAATCCCTGTAATAATGTCATAAGTTGTAGTTTCACAATCAATGTAATAATGTCTTTAGTTGTATTTTCACAAGCCCTTTAATAATGTCATTAGTTGTATTTTCACAATCCCTGTAATAATGTCATTAGTTGTATTTTCACAGGCCCTCTGATAATGTCATTAGTTGTATTTTCACAAGCCCTGTAATAATGTCATTAGTTGTATTTTCACAAGCCCTGTAATAATGTCATTAGTTCTATTTTCACAGGCCCTGTAATAATGTCATTAGTTCTATTTTCACAAGCCCTGTAATAATGTCATTAGTTGTATTTTTACAAGCCCTGTAATAATGTCATTAGTTGTATTTTCACAATCCCTGTAATAATGTCATTAGTTGTATTTTCACAAGCCCTGTAATAATGTCATTAGTTGTATTTTCACAATCCCTGTAATAATGTCATTAGTTCTATTTTCACAGGCCCTGTAATAATGTCATTAGTTGTATTTTCACAAGCCCTGTAATAATGTCATTAGTTGTATTTTCACAAGCCCTGTAATAATGTCATTAGTTCTATTTTCACAGGCCCTGTAATAATGTCATTAGTTCTATTTTCACAAGCCCTGTAATAATGTCATTAGTTGTATTTTCACAAGCCCTGTAATAATGTCATTAGTTGTATTTTCAGAATCCCTGTAATAATGTCATTAGTTGTATTTTCACAGGCCCTGTGATAATGTCATTAGTTGTATTTTCACAATCCCTGTAATAATTTCATTAGTTGTATTTTCACAAGCCCGGTAATATGTCATTAGTTGTATTTTCACAAGCCCTGTAATAATGTCATTAGTTGTAGTTTCACAATCCCTGTAATAATGTCATTAGTTGTATTTTCACAAGCCCTGTAATAATGTCATTAGTTGTATTTTCACAATCCCTGTAATAATTTCATTAGTTGTATTTTCACAAGCCCTGTAATAATGTCATTAGCTGTATTTTCACATTCTGAGCCCTTGAGGTTCTTTGCTGCAGATATCACTCTCCTCCATTTATTTCTCTGGTTGGCCTTCTCTTTCCACTTGGTGACACATTAGTTGTAGTTTCACAATCCCTGTAATAATGTCATTAGTTCTATTTTCACAGGCCCTGTAATAATGTCATTAGTTGTATTTTCACAAGCCCTGTAATAATGTCATTAGTTGTATTTTCACAAGCCCTGTAATAATGTCATTAGTTCTATTTTCACAGGCCCTGTAATAATGTCATTAGTTCTATTTTCACAAGCCCTGTAATAATGTCATTAGTTGTAGTTTCACAATCCCTGTAATAATGTCATTAGTTGTATTTTCACAAGCCCTGTAATAATGTCATTAGTTGTATTTTCACAATCCCTGTAATAATTTCATTAGTTGTATTTTCACAAGCCCTGTAATAATGTCATTAGCTGTATTTTCACATTCTGAGCCCTTGAGGTTCTTTGCTGCAGATATCACTCTCCTCCATTTATTTCTCTGGTTGGCCTTCTCTTTCCACTTGGTGACACAGAGTGTTTGCAGGTCTGTCTATACATTATCTCCCCATGGTCTTATTAGTCTGTCTCGTTGTCTACGACCATTTATCTCCCTTGTGTATACAGTTTTTACTTCTCTGTCATCTGACATTCTTTCAAAATGCCCCAATCATTTCAGTCTATTAGCTCTCATGATGCTAGTGATCATTGGTGATTTAAACAGATTATGCATTTCATTGATGCTTCTCACTCTCCATTCTCCAGTTTGCATCTTTGATGTGGCCAAAGATTCATTGTAAGACTCTGTTTTCCAAAACCTGTATTTTCTAATGCCCTATAATAATGTAACTAGTTATATTTTAACATGCCCTTTAATAACAGCTAATATTTTATTTTCCTGAATTTTTTTTTTTTTTCAGAAGAAGATAAAGACACACAGTCTTTTAAACGAGGGGATTCCGCTCGAAAAGCCCTTCACAGACGCATGCCATCAGCACCCAGCACTCCCCACGAGGACAGGAAGTTACCCCGAGAGAGAGTACCATCTGATGAACTTGCCGCCAGTGAAGACCTGTGTCTTTCCTCTAGTTATTCTCAGCATGAAGGTGACATGAATATCCATGCAAAAATCAACTTCCGCCTTTTACAAGTGGCTGAAAAAAGCCGATCTGCTAAGTCACAAGAAGAGCTGACCTCACCGTTGAAGCGAATGGCCAAATGTTCGCCCCAGGACAGTAAGAGAGCAAAAGGGGCCGGTAATATACTAGTAGGCTCAAGGGATGATGCAAACAAGAAAATGATGGACTCCTGTTTCCATGACTATGCGGAAATTGTGTCTGATGAAGATATCATAAATACTCCAGATAGCCAGGGGGCCATATCAGTGTCCAGTTCTGGCTGCAACATGCAAGATGTTCTTGATCAAATTGATACACGACTGGCTTTAAATGCAAAACTGTTTCCTCGTCAAGGGATTGGTGATACATCAGGCTACCGTGTCGGAGACTCCCCGCTGTCCATTGTTGAAACCAGCAGTCTTCCCAGTGATAAACAGACAATCTTCTCACCAGGTACTGGCTTGACTGCAGGTGTCCTGACCACACCTGTGCAGGCATCTGTCAGTGCTGGCTCTCTGTACCCCAGCCAATCCCCTACTGGTGTAGCAGTTTGTCCAGAAGATCTCACAATAATAGGTTCCCTAAGAGAATTCAATAAGCTGCCAGAAGGCTTCCAGAGTTGGCCAGTGGATGACAGTAATCAGCAGCAGATTTCAATGAGAGCCCAAGTCAGACCAGAGTCTGGCAAGATAAGAGCAGCAGCAGACAAAGCCACCTGTGGAACGGCCACCTCCACACTGGTAGCACGGCGACACACAGAATTTATACCTAGTTTAACCGCTGCAGCTAGAGATTTGCATAATTTACATGAACTGTTAAATAGTTTAACAGGAGAGGACTCACAGCTAGATGTCCAGACCAGGCAGCCAGTACTGCCACAGAATCACAAATCTTCTAGGAATTCCTTTGTACAAACTCTTCATGATCCCACAGCAGGCAAAGTGACTAAACAGAAACCATCCATTGCAGCTGATAGTTTTGAGCCCAGAGTAGAGGCAGGAAAAGCAGAAGGTCATGTAGCATTCACGTCAGTGGGGGTTGGCAGTGGGGGAATGAGTAAATGCCTCAGTGTGCCCAGCGACATCGCCAGGTCACTGGAGAACGTCACAGAAAGCCAGTCTGATCTGCTGTCATCTGTCACCATTAGTGAGCTTTCAGCATCCATCAACAGCTTCAGCAATGGTCTTCCTCAAGAGCCTGCCTTTGTTTTTAATGAAGCAAAGGCTTCGGCAGACAGTGCCGATCGCCGACATAGGCGTAGCACTAGTTTAGACAGTCTGCCGGAGAATGATCACCTAATGACCAGAACATTACGGGAAATTAATTCTCAGATGGAGGCGGCATTTCAGCACAACAAAATCAGCAGTTCTAGGTGTAGTCTGGATTCTCTGTCACATCAGCAACGTTTAGCAGTGTCTGACCTGGAGCTGACTTCCACTGCGTTTGGTCATCACCAAGGTACAATTGCAACCACCACAGATGTCAGTCATAGAGAATCTTCCGAAAATTATGTACATTCGAGTCCAGGCAGTATCATTACCTGCAGCTCATCTGATAGATTGCAGTCTTCAGCTGATAAATCTGGTCTGTTTGATACAGATGCTGGTGTGCCATCTCAGAAACTGTTGGCAGAGGTGACCTTGAATTCACAAACCAAGGAGTTTAATTCAGAAGCCGGAGATTGGGTTGCTCTCCCATCTCTGCCATTGAATATTGTTGGCAAGCAAGCCATTTGTGATGTTTTGCCAGCATCATGTTCCCCCTCACAACTGAGCCCTAGTGATGGGCTACAGCTCTTTGGAGTTAGGCAACAGGAAGACTTTGATTGTCTAGAAAAATCATGTGATCAACAGTGCAGGCTTAGAGAGAAACAAACACACAAACAAAGTGATGAACTCATAGTGATTGAAACGGCACATGTAGTCAAGCACAAGCCTCCAGAGCTAGGTGCTGCTTCATCATCTAGCCAACATCGTGTGCACAGTCAGAGTGACACACATCATCATATGCACAGTCAAAGTGACATACAACATCGTATGTACAGTCAAAGTGACACACATCATGTGCACAGTCGAAGTGACATAGCAAATGTGTGTACAAATAGGTCTTCTTCTTCATCTTCTAGCATCAGTTCTGAAGATTATGATGAGGTGGCTAAACTGAGCCAAGGTGTCGATGGAAAGTGTCATTTCAGCCTACCAGTAGATGGTCACAGTTGTTCTCTGGAAAATGTTTGTAGTTTTGGTGGGTACCTGACAGAGGCTTCAGCCAGCTCTAGGGCCCAGCAAGTTGGCAACTCCAGTGACATAAAACACCAGCCTGCTCTACAGGTCAGTCTTACGGCCAGTGATTCCACTTACTATCAGGTTGTTCGACGTCAGCATTCTCCACGAGTAGAGCAGAAGTCATCAAGATTTCATCTCAATGTTGATGGAACCAGATCCAACATTGAAGACACTGAGGACAGCGTGATAGCCAGTGGCAGGTGGAAACCTCTGTTCACATCTGACAGTGCGGTGGATGACACAGAGACTTGTGAACGGATGTCCAGTCTCTGTGCCGCAGGTCTGATGAGTCAGAGAGTCCGACTCAGTAGAGACTCGTCTGTCAGTAGTCTGCAGTCACCAGATACTTCCTCTCCTTGTATCTTGTCAGTGAGTGCCCAAAGCCCACTGGCAACACCTGTGAGAGAAGCATTGCCCGATTTAATTCAGTCCACTGCCCTGACAGAAGCAGCAAATGCAGACAACAGAAGATGCAGTCAGCCTCTGCAACTTGTCCTCTATCACCCTGATGAATTTTCTGTGGACATAGCAACCTCTATATCCAGTCACAGCCCTAACTCCAGGTGTGCACCACTATATACCTCCCCCTTCGTGCCTCAGGTTCACTCTGTGTCACAGACAGTAGTTGTCACAAAATCAACTTTGACCAAGTCATCAACGAACAACTCTCTTTCGGAAGTTATAATGACAGACAGAACCATCAGTGGCAGACCTCCAGTCACAGGTGGCTTAGACATGAGGGAGGAGCAGGCCGGCAGTCTTCATCTTATGTTGGGTGGGGCGGATGTCAGTAGGACTCCGACATTGTTTCAACCACCATGGTATAATTACACTGATGCACGTGATATCAGTGAAGAAAATAGACACAACATTCAGGCTTGTAGAAGTGAGGGCAGTACTTCCTTTAACCATGATCATATTGCCGACAGCAGTCACATCAGATCTAGGGTCACAGACAGTGTAGAGATGGCTTTGGCAGTAGAAAAGATGCAGTCATCATGTACCCACGAGCAACATACTCTAGGGCCTGGGCCCAGTCCCAGTCTAGACACTGAGGCCAAATTGTTCTTCTTACATAATTCTGACCTAGGAATTAACAAAGAGGAAGCCCAAAATGTTGTCAACCAAGGTCGAGAAATACTAATGTCGCCAGAAATAGACAAGTCTGGGCACAGAGAGAGAACATATCCAAGCCTGCAAAGTCCTTCAACTGTTCCTGTCCGCAGAACTTCTTTTTCCAAAATCCCTCGCCCTAAACAGAACTGTGATTTGGCATCACCCAGGTCAACCAGCAATGGGGGGAAAAGGACAGAATTCTTATATCCATCATCAATACATGTGGATACATCACCATCATCATCTTCTTCATCTGCATCTTCATCTTCACGAGCTGGCCATACCCGCAGGGCTTCTGAAGCTTCTTCATGTGGATCCACCACAAAACGCCAGGGTCACATTCGAAGGTCATCCGACACAAAACTGACTGACCTACAAACTGTGTCTCCGGTAGCCCGTGGCCATTCATCAACTAAACCTGACTTTTCAGGAACTGGGCCAGCTGTAACCAGTCCCAGAAACCGGGGTACTGATCAGAAAATGAACTCCACAGATGTTGGAGGAAAGACTTCCCGCATTCCATTGTCTCATCGCCTACCTAGTCCCCAGTCAAATCGGGGAAAAGATGCTTCCAGTTTGGGGATTTTAAAGCAGATAAGCAAAATCCCAAGTCCGGTTCCGAAACCTCGTAAATTAAACCTAAGCCCTAAAGGAAATCATGCAGCAGTGTCAGCTGAAGGTAACAACACTGTGAGAGCATGCCCAACAGATATTTCAGGCAGAGTTGCAGGCAGTAAAGTTAGCATAGTCAGGAGGGATGCTGAATCCACTACGAAGAAAGCTGTGATTGTTAAAGACATGCCTTCTAGATCCGAAGCACAATTAGTGATAGAGTCACAAGCTGACATGAGCCATGTACAAACTGTTCATGCCACTAAAGTTTCTCAGCCAGCAAGACAAGTAGCTGGATCAAATCCTGCAACAGAATCAGTATTGACTTCTTTCCCATTGGCTAATGAGACTTCAATATTGACTGTTACATCTGGTGAAATTGCCAGAAGCCAGTCACATCTTCAGGCAGAAGTCAAAACTGTTGGAGGAGACAAGAAAACTCCTCCGCCTGTAGCAGCCAGAAAATTTACTTATGACTCCAGATCATTACCACGAAGATCCACATTTTTGGAAACTCAGATGAGCTTCCCCGGGGATCAGTCTTCTTGGCAGCTGTACACAGACATGCTGGGTAGCCGCTCATCCTTGGATGATTCAGTATTACAGCTTGCTGCTGAAAGGCATGATTTGTTTGTTCCAGGTGTCCGGGAAGATGGTAGCTGTTATGCTCACTGTCTTGGCTCTCTGCGTGTGAAGCGTTCTCAGAAGATGCAAAGTTTGATGGATTTATTTGAGCATAGATCTGATTCAGTGGCATCAGATAGTTCTGGAACTCATAGCCCAGGTACACAGCACCGGGTTCGGACCTGTTCGGCGTCAGTGACGGCCCAGGGTGGACAGCTGACACCATGTGTGGAGGCTGTTCTCTGTGATAGCACACTTGATGATGACACTTTCTTACCACCAGCATCAGAAGGTGATGACACATTGTCCAGTGACTGTATTACGGGACCAGGTCATGAGAATTCAAAAAGTGGAGGGTGCACGGAAGCACCAGAGAAATATACTGCCGTTCTGTGCTCTTCCGTGACCCTTTCAAAAGGAGAAGATGTAGCACATGGAAGTTCAGCTGAACAGAGATCTGTGAATGTCAAACCGATAGCCGAAACACAGCAACCTTCTTTGTCGTCAAATTTTGATCAGGCATCTTTCTCCACAATTTCAAAGCCTCCCTATCACCACCAGCTCCCAGAAACTAGAACACGCAGCAATTCCTCATCTGATGGTTCTGCAATCCACCAAACAAATGTCTGGACATCTAGACCTTCTTCATTTTCAGGAATAGATGTACAGCTGCAGACTTGTGGGTATGCTCACCTGGCAGATACACATCCTCACCTGGCTGATACACATGCTCACCTGGCAGATACACATGCTCACCTGGCAGATACACATCCTCACCTGGCAGATACACATCCTCACCTGGCAGATAAACATCAGCCATCAGTGTTTGACAGGCAGCATTCTAGTTTGGTATTCATTAATCCAGCACCCAGACACATGGTCAGGCAGCTTTTCGAGTCAGAAGTTGCTCATGATGCAGAAAATGAACTTTGCACAACAGTTGGTAACAGTGCAATCAACACAGCGGCGCCATCTCCAAGAATGCACACAGAACGGCGGAATAGCATCAAAGAATTAAAACAGCTGTTTGAGAGAGCAGATACTGAGGGAAATACAACTGCTGACAGTGGACTCATAAATGCTGATGGGCAATCAGTGTCAGTACGACCACGAGTAAGGTCAGTGTCTCCACAAACCGATCATGAGCATGTGGTCAGAACAGACAGACCTTTGAGGCATAGTCTGGAGATCTCATCCAGCTCTGTGATTCATCAGAGCTGCCAGTCAGAGCAGATATCCAGCTCTGTGACTGGTCACAGTTCACAGTCAGAGTTGAAGGCACAACCGCTGAGACTTGGTCCCAAACCTTTTTATGGGGCACATAAGTAGCAGGTCCACAAGCCAGAACACTGCTGATATTTACAGGACTTGCAACTGAGAAGGTCGTACTTAAGGTCATCATGTAGACTCTTATTAGGGGTCATTTGTCCTTCATGTAATAATGTCTACTCAAAGGCTGACAGTAGATTTACAATCAGTGATGGGCTATATGTTGCATGGTGCACACTATAGTTAATGGTGCCATTAAATGTATTTCTATATGTGTTCTAAATGATATGAATTATAATTAAATTTATCCATATGATGTGTATTATAATTAAGGATATAACTGAACCTGTCCACAAAATGCATACGATAAATAATGCTACAGTTGCGTGTATCCATATGATGTGTACTGTAATTAAGGATAAATAATGCTACAGTTGCGTGTATCCATATGATGTGTATTGTAAATAATTTTTGCAGCATATTTGGATATTTGTGACTGTTTAACCGTAACACTCAGTGTGTACAGCTGAAAATATTTATTGTGTAATGCTTAACATTTGCCCTAGTTCACTCTAGTCAAACAAGAGGTACATTAATTATGTCAGGTCAATTAAGAAATTCAATATTTCAGATTGTGTTATATCATTGTAAAACTGAATAGATAGATACACATCATCAGTGTTGCAAAAACTTTGGAAAATTATGAATAGAGAGAGACACATAATGAAAACATTAGATAACTGGTACACACTGTCTGTGTTGTGAAACATTAGAAAACTGAATAGATACACATCATTGACATTGTAAAAACTCCATGATTCTGCTTATCTCATGTTTGAGTTTGCTGTTGTACATAGCTCAGGGGACAAGTTGCAATTTGTGTGTTATGTTCTTTGTTCTTTATTACTGTACTTTTTTTTTCCCAAATTGTTTCTGTAGTATGTGTAAAGTTTTCTTCATTGTTTCTGTAGTGTGCTTATTGTTTTATTTATTCTCATGACTTAGTTTTTAGATCTATAATTATTTTTGGGAGGGATTGGTCCTCTTTTGCATTGACACATTGATTGATGTATTTCAAGCATGATTAGTTTTAAATGAATGCTTGATTATCAAGTCTGATTTCAGTAGGTATCATAAATAGGTTTTAGAAGCTCTTTTCTGTAGATCTTCAGTCAGGTTGTACATCTGAGATAGTCTTGCATGATTGTAGCTTCTGTGTATCTTATAATATTTGTGTTTTATTTCCTCTCAGTCATGTTGACACCTTTATCATCACTTGGGCTTGTATGGCTTTGTCGTTGAGATACATGTCGTTCATACTGATGGTACAGGCATATGTTGACGGTGTATTTGTTGGACAAATGATGTTTGTTAGTTGAATTGTGGAGTCGAATTTTATATTTTATTACATTCTATGTTGTGTTTCATTGCAAGTTTCTTATTGCTGTTTTCATGAGATATAATTTTAATTAGTGTATACTAGTATGTTATGAATATCTGGCCACAAGTACAGTCAAACATACTTTAAATATTTGTCATGTAATATAAGCAATACTGACATTGTTCACAACCTGAGTATCCAAGGGTACCATTCCGTTAACAATGCTGTTTTTGGTCAGCTGAAATACTTGGGCCGTGTTGAACACCATAGTAGTGTGGTTAGAATTCTAATAGAAGGTTTGGTTCCTAGAAGCAGAAGACAACCAATACAACATTTTACCAGGAGGTCAAGTAAAGCTCCTGAGATGGCAAAGTTGGCATGGCAACCAAAGCTGCTTGTTTGCTTGCTGTGATGAGAGTTACATTCTGCAACCTATCTGCTACATTATTCTAACAGATAAACAACCTATCTGCTACATTATTCTAACAGATAAACAACCTATCTGCTACATTATTCTAACAGATAAACAACCTATCTGCTACATTATTCTAACAGATAAACAACCTATCTGCTACATTATTCTAACAGATAAACAACCTATCTGCTACATTATTCTAACAGATAAACAACCTATCTGCTACATTATTCTAACAGATAAACAACCTATCTGCTACATTATTCTAACAGATAAACAACCTATCTGCTACATTATTCTAACAGATAAACAACCTATCTGCTACATTATTCTAACAGATAAACAACCTATCTGCTACATTATTCTAACAGATAAACAACCTATCTGCTACATTATTCTAACAGATAAACAACCTATCTGCTACATTATTCTAACAGATAAACAACCTATCTGCTACATTATTCTAACAGATAAACAACCTATCTGCTACATTATTCTAACAGATAAACAACCTATCTGCTACATTATTCTAACAGATAAACAACCTATCTGCTACATTATTCTAACAGATAAACAACCTATCTGCTACATTATTCTAACAGATAAACAACCTATCTGCTACATTATTCTAACAAATAAACAACCTATCTGCTACATTATTCTAACAGATAAACAACCTATCTGCTACATTATTCTAAACAGATAAACAACCTATCTGCTACATTATTCTAACAGATAAACAACCTATCTGCTACATTATTCTAACAGATAAACAACCTATCTGCTACATTATTCTAACAGATAAACAACCTATCTGCTACATTATTCTAACAGATAAACAACCTATCTGCTACATTATTCTAACAGATAAACAACCTATCTGCTACATTATTCTAACAGATAAACAACCTATCTGCTACATTATTCTAACAGATAAACAACCTATCTGCTACATTATTCTAACAGATAAACAACCTATCTGCTACATTATTCTAACAGATAAACAACCTATCTGCTACATTATTCTAACAGATAAACAACCTATCTGCTACATTATTCTAACAGATAAACAACCTATCTGCTACATTATTCTAACAAATAAACAACCTATCTGCTACATTATTCTAACAGATAAACAACCTATCTGCTACATTATTCTAACAGATAAACAACCTATCTGCTACATTATTCTAACAGATAAACAACCTATCTGCTACATTATTCTAACAGATAAACAACCTATCTGCTACATTATTCTAACAGATAAACAACCTATCTGCTACATTATTCTAACAGATAAACAACCTATCTGCTACATTATTCTAACAGATAAACAACCTATCTGCTACATTATTCTAACAGATAAACAACCTATCTGCTACATTATTCTAACAGATAAACAACCTATCTGCTACATTATTCTAACAGATAAACAACCTATCTGCTACATTATTCTAACAAATACAAGCCAGATGAATAAAAGTGATAGACTGCCAGATCAATTAAAGCCATAGACTGCCCTCGCCAGCTTGTTGGTTTCAGATGAACTGTTCAGCTTCCTGTAGAATTCTTTGTAATGATCTTGTCACTTTCCTGTAGAATTCTTTGTGATGATCTTGTCATTTTCCTGTAGAATTCTATGTGATGATCCTGTCACTTTCCTGTAGAATTCTATGTGATGATCTTGTCATTTTCCTGTAGAATTCTATGTGATGATCTTGTCATTTTCTTGTAGAACTCTATGTGATGATCTTGTCACTTTCCTGTAGAATTCTTTGTGATGATCTTGTCATTTTCCTGTAGAATTCTATGTGATGATCCTGTCACTTTCCTGTAGAATTCTATGTGATGATCCTGTCATTTTCTTGTAGAATTCTATGTGATGATCTTGTCATTTTCCTGTAGAATTCTATGTGATGATCTTGTTATTTTCTTGTAGAATTCTATGTAATGATCTTGTCATTTTCTTGTAGAATTCTATGTGATGATCTTGTCACTTTCCTGTAGAATTCTATGTGATGATCCTGTCACTTTCCTGTAGAATTCTATGTGATGATCCTGTCACTTTCCTGTAGAATTCTATGTGATGATCCTGTCACTTTCCTGTAGAATTCTTTGTGATGATCTTGTCATTTTCCTGTAGAATTCTTTGTGATGATCTTGTCATTTTCCTGTAGAATTCTATGTGATGATCCTGTCACTTTCCTGTAGAATTCTTTGTGATGATCTTGTCACTTTCCTGTAGAATTCTATGTGAGGATCTTGTCATTTTCCTGTAGAATTCTATGTGATGATCTTGTCATTTTCTTGTAGAATTCTATGTGATGATCCTGTCATTTTCTTGTAGAATTCTATGTGATGATCTTGTCACTTTCCTGTAGAATTCTATGTGATGATCCTGTCATTTTCTTGTAGAATTCTATGTGATGATCCTGTCATTTCCTTGTAGAATTCTATGTGATGATCTTGTCATTTTCCTGTAGAATTCTATGTGATGATCTTGTCATTTTCCTGTAGAATTCTATGTGATGATCCTGTCATTTTCTTGTAGAATTCGATCATCACGGTCTAAATGGCAGTATTTTCTCATATGATTTGTTTTATGAGGTTAACTTTTAGAATTATTTGAATAAAGAGGGCAGTCAGTCTTTAGCTGTGTCCGTGAATAACCACTCCAAAGAATACATTAACTGTAGACTTTTGCTTTTTGATTAGGCGAAATTTATATCAGACATTCTCATTCTCAGTGACCATCTGTTATTGGCAGCTCTTATTTCTGGACACTCGTTTATCAGGTGCTCCTCAGATTTGTTTTAAATATTTCTACAGGTGGTCTATTGTTTATCAGGTGCTCCTTAGATTTCAGCTTTTAGTATTTGAATCTCTTGGTCTGTCTAAAGATCTTTTCCAGGCTCACAGTATAGGTGACATGGTGATTTCAGTCACAGTATAGGTGACATGGTGATTTCAGTCGCAGTATAGGTGACGTGGTGATTTCAGTCACAGTATAGGTGACCTGGTGATTTCAGTCACAGTATAGGTGACGTGGTGATTTCAGTCACAGTATAGGTGACGTGGTGATTTCAGTCACAGTATAGGTGACGTGGTGATTTCAGTCACAGTATAGATGACATGGTGATTTCAGTCACAGTATAGGTGACATGGTGATTTCAGTCACAGTATAGGTGACCTGGTGATTTCAGTCACAGTATAGGTGACGTGATTTCAGTCACAGTATAGGTGACGTGGTGATTTCAGTCACAG